GTCGCTTGTTCAAATTCTGTTTATTTTTTGCATTTTTTCATTTCAGAAAATTTTACAAATCGCCTAAGATAACATTAACCCTAACCCTAACCCTAACCCTAATACTAACTCTAATACTTCGAACTTCTTCTGTAAATAAACTAGCACTCTACTTAAAATTTCAATCACTACAAATTAATATTATTATTAGTTTTTTAAAAAAAACTCTCACAAAAATAATATTATTATACCATAAATATAGTAGTAGCAATATGGGATTGTGAAGTAGATATCCCAGGATTAACTAAATTTAAGGAAAGCTGATGCATTAAAAGAACTTACTATACAGAATGTTTTTTCATGCCAGAATCCTTTCATTATTAACTGCTGACATATGATCAATTTCAAAAGAATTTTTTATTAATTGTTTTTGTGAAAATCAGATGTTTGAAGTATTCGTGAAACAATTTTATAAAATAAAGGGGGATAATTGTTTTTTACGGCAATTTATATTTTAATATCTTAAGAGTAAAACTAGAGGTATTGACACGTCTGTTATCTATTGTCATGATGCCTAGATACCCAGAGCACACATCTGTTATCTCTTGTCATGATACCTAGACACATTAAAGTTGATGTAGAGCTATCAACTTACAAGAAAATCTAGGAAAACGATTGTTTTATGGAGTAATTTAGTACCAGCTATAAGGGATAGAACTAGGCGTACAACAGCAACTGTTTGAGAGCTATATCATGGTAACTCATTAGTTGAAGTTTTTTCCAGAAACTTTTTTGTAAAGTATCATATCCGAGCAACTCTTTAGTCAACAAGAATTAAGAAATAACTAATAAAAGAATAAATTAGTCTTCAAACTACTCATAAATCAATTATTATTTACAAATATAAAAGTATACTCCTGTGCTAGTTTTTTAAAAAGGGGTTACAACTTATTTATTTAATATATATAAAATATAAAAAATAATATTATAGAATAAATGCTAACTACTAGTACTAGAGAAATAGTAGAACAATATAAAATATCAGAAATTTTAAATTATTATATAACTAATATTATATAGTAAAAATTATAGAAAAATATTTATAATTCATTACATTAATAGTTGAATAAATTCTAATAACTTTAATACAATTTATAATGTTATACATTGATGTCATTTTGTAATAAAAATTGACAAACAGTGTATAAAGAATTTTTACTGCTAGCATGATATTATAAGTACTATATACTAATAATACATATTGATAATTGAACAAATTCTAACATCCCATGATATTATCTAATACAAAATAAATTATTGTATATATAGAGCTACATATATAGTAAGAATTATTGATTATTTATTAATTGATTGTAAATGAATTATCTATTTTCAACAAATATTAAGAAGGAAAGATAGTAATTAGTAACCAAAAAGAAGATTCAATAAATTTTATCATATGTCATAAAAGCAATCAAGAGTAAAATATAAATTTATAGCTTGTTTACAGTATAATAATAATAATTGTTATAATATGATTAATATTCTTTAATAATTAAACCAATATTAATATAAATAAGAATAGGATTTTACTTTGCATTATTTTCATTTTTAATTACACAGTTTCTCTATAACCCAGTAACTTTTTACAAATAAGTCATCTTATGCCTATAATGTAAGAAAGTTGATAAATAATCATCTAACTATCAGTATTAATATCAATTACTAACGTATAACTAAATTTAAAATTAGGAGTGAAAAAAATAATTCTTTTAACTGCACAATCATATAATTTTAACTTTTATTTTTATACTTTTTGTGCACAAAAGTATATGAAATTCGAATAGATTATTCTCATTATTCCCATTATATTCAATGGCAGTTTACAGAATGCTTTTTGGCATTCTTAATCTTTTTAGTCTTACTGATCTTTCTATTTTTTTCAGTCTTTTCGGTCATGATTATTTTTTCAGCAGTATAAACAGAATTTTTTCTTTTTATATTCTTACAAATCTTAAGTATGATTCCCAAAATAGACGTTTACGGACATACATTAGTCCGCCGATAGGTAGAGTGAGTAACGTTACGAAGATTACGTGAAGACCCTGAAGGCCTATTTTTCCGATATAATTTGAAACTCTTTTTCGTGATGCCATGTTGATTTTCGATTGCTTCCATGCCAACGAACGAAACTTCCAAACATTCGTTTTGATAGCGGGCAGAGAAATTTCCATAAATTTAAAATCGCTTTAGACGTAGCCTTATGCGTGTTAAAATGAATCCTGAAACATCGATAAAGGTTAATTGTCGTCTCTGGCCCAATTGAAGGTATCGGAATATTTGATCGAGTCCACGATGCACAAGTTCAATTTGTCCGCATATTTTTAAGAATATCTTCTGCATATTTCGCTAATATTCTGAGAGTGTTTCTAATATAAGGAAGGAGGGATGGACATCTCCAAATATGTTCATTCGTTTCGGTAGCACTATGACATAGAAGACAAGTAACATCATTATTAATGAGATCCGGAAAATTTCTATTCAAAATATCTAATGTTGGTAAGGAATTGGTCGAAGTTTTAATCTTCAAACTTGTGTCCTTTGAATGGTCGGAACTCGTAACACTGTCGTGTGCGAGGAACAACAATGAATAGCTCGCTACTTGTAATCGAAGTCACGTGATTTCACGTATAAAATATTTCGATACAAAAAAATAAAATTTAAAGTAGTGAGGAGAACGAGAGATGTATTTGGTTAGGAGGAAAAATAAAATATAATAAATAGGAACTAAATGTGGGGAAGAGGTCGACCTATACACTATATATAATTTTAGTTTCTTAGTATAGTTTTATTTTATTTTTTCTTTTTCTTTTTCTAGGTTTTAGTAGATAGTAGCTTAGTTAGGTCCAATTTAGATTAGGTTATATGGGTTTGTTTTTTTTATTTTTATTATTTCTTTGTTTTTTATATTGTATTAGGATAGATCACTCTGTTATAGATTCGTTTCGTGTTGCACGAACGGGCTAGGTATTTACTCGAATTGGATTCTATCCTTAATAAAGAGAAATGCGTTACAGTTTAAAAAAAAAAAAAATTCTTAAAATTAGTGGTATGTAGGATAATACGTAATTCTGGCCGCCGGAATTATGTGATCGGCGTATAAATTTCCTTGAAACCAAATCTCCCATTATTTATTTTTTTGGAATGTTATGCAACATCACGTGATTTACGTGATAATTATGGGATATGGGATTGGATAAATGGGATGTGGGATGTGGGAACTGATGTGGGATGGGATATGGGATTCTCCCAATCCCATTTATATGGGCGGCAAGTATAACCATGATATCTCATTGTCTTATTGTGATATATAATTGAATTTTCTTTAATTCCGTGAAATAACTATTACTTATTTTTCATTAATAAATGCATGATCATAAATTATATAAATTATAAGAAAAAAAAAAATAAAACTTTGAATATTCACGCATTTCATTAAAATTATAATTGGTAAAATATTTTTTAACGAGGGACAACAATATTTTATCACAACTACGTACAAATATGCCACATTAAGGGTTAAGAGTATCTTAAATAGAATGTCTCCTCATGATTCTTTGATTTTAGTTATTGTCCGTTTTACAATATAAATATAGTATATTTTTTTATTATACGGTATATGTGATGATATCGTAATAAAATATGTTTAAAGTAAAGTAAAATATTTTCAATATTTCATGTATACTTACAGTATTTGTGTATATATTTTTTTATAAAAGTAACATGTGGTGAATACAGTGTGCATTTCCTAACTGCATAATTTTTTTTTACGCCAAATAACTAATTTATACTATACTCTGTCACTCCGTTGGCGTCTTTCATTTAACCAGTTTAAACAACTTCTTTGTCTGTAATGCACGCTTAAGACCGATATGTAATATAAATTCCTCAACTCATATGGCTAAATCATTTAAAATCAAAATTATAAATACGGAAATTTCTTTTATGTAGATCATTCATCATATAGCAAAAAAAAGAAACGATCATAGGGTAGTAAGGAGTCATGGAGAAGTGAAATTACTCAAAGTAATAACATTTATTATGTAACATCAGAGGTTTTTACCTGTGTAACAAATTAAATTACAATATTAGATCACATGATTTTATTAAGTGTAACATAAGATTTTTCGCTAATCCCGCACACTTTGTCTTTACCAAATAAGAAACAATAACAATGTTTCTTATAATCTAAGCTATATATGATTTAGTCCCATTTCATACGCAAACCAAATTTACATAATATAAATTTTCAAGTAACAATACTTTAAAAACTGATAATATTATAACAACTAATAATATTGTTACTACTTTTTATCAACAAAGAACGCAAAATTATTATAAATATCCTTTTTTTTTTTTGCTCAAGTCCTAAAATTATCTCTTATCTTTTTTTCAAATAAACTTTTATTTATTAATTCTTCTCCTATTATCAATCATGGAATTTACACCAGTTGTGAAAAGACCAAGTGTTGACCGATCGATTAAAGTTCGAACAAACTTTTTTGAATTACTTTCAATGCCGACAAATAATATTATACATTATGATGTATCTATTACACCTGAGGTCCCTCCACGATTTAATATGAAAATATTTGAAAGTTTCGTGGAAAAATACCGGGAAAGCCTTGGAAACGCAAAGCCAGTATTCGACGGTACGTATTCAATAATATATATATATATTGATACAAATATACCAATACTGAATAAAATGAAGCGAAATATCACTTCAACAAGTTATCAAAACTGTATTTCATAATTTCTTTTTATTTATAAATTAATAATGCTATATAATAACTAAATATATGCTTGTATTTAAAAGATGGAGATGGATACTAACCAATAGCAAATTGTTTGTAGGAAGGAAAAATATGTTCGCCCACAAAGTATTGTCTTTTGGGAACGCCGCCACCTTCCACGTAGACGTAAATATCTATTTTTTTTTTACTTTTTTTTTGGTTTTTGAAATTTAAAAAAAAGGGCATAATAAATTATATTTAACAAATTAGGTGATGTCGAATAAAAAGATAGTACAAACCTTTCAGATAATTATAAGAAAGGTTGGAAAAGATATTGTTATGGAGGAACTGGTACGATTTTTAAATGAAAAAAGTAGCATGACCAACAATTGCAAAACGGGTAAGTTTTTGTTATTTCTTAGTTTCTTTCTTTTTAATAAAAATGAATCTCATAATGGATTATAATCATTTATGTAATAAGCAATAATGGCGCTGGACGTAATAATCGGTTACCAGGTTTCTACCGCAAATGTTACTGTAGGTAGATCATTCTTTACCCAGAAGGAATCAAGTCCTATTGCTGGAGGAGTTGAAGTGTGGCGAGGATACTATCAATCCGCCCGTCCCACCAGAGGCAAAATGATGATAAACATTGACTTAAGTGCAACTGTTTTTTATCAAGATGGTCCACTTATACAATTAATAACCAAAATATTAAAACTTGGATCTCTTGACAAACTACGTAGTGGCCTTTCTGAAAGGGACCATCAAATGGTTGAGAGAACAATCAAAAACCTCAAAATAAGAGTTAACCATAGAGCCGAAACCCGAACTAGTAGTTTCAAGATTGAAAAATTAACACAAACACCCGCATCAAGTACTATGTTTGAAAAAGATGGTAATACCATCAACGTAGGAACCTATTTCCAAAACACTTACAATAAGCGTTTAATTTATCCCTTCCTTCCTTGTGTTGTTGTAAGAAGACACATTTTACTTCCTCTTGAAGTCTGCGACGTAATTCCGGTAAATTATGTGATTTATCTAGCAATATCACATAATTATAAGAATTTATTTTCTAAACAAAAAAAAAACATTTTGTATATAACAGGGTCAACGATATATGAGGAAACTGAATGGAGGACAGATGGACGAGATGATGGCGTTAACTCGCCAGAATCCGTCCATTCGTACCAACATGATCAGAAAAGGGGTAAAAATACTAAATGACCAAACCGAATTTATGCAACAATTCGGAGTGAAAGTATCTGATAAAATGGCCGTGGTAGGATTAAAATATGTATTATTGCGATATAGGAATAAATTATATTTTGATTATAATTTTATTTTCAATAACACGAACAGGTGGATGCTAGAGTTCTTCCTGCCCCAACGATTATTTATCACCCGTCATCAAGAGAGAAACATATCACACCTATAAATGGAAACTGGAACTTACGTAATAAGAAACTTGCAATTGGAGCCACCCTCGGCTCTTGGTGTGTTTTGGCTTTTTTAAGCTCTGACGTTTTTCCCGATAATGTTATCTCGACATTTGTCCGAGAACTAGCGACCGTGTGTCAAGACACAGGGATGGTAAGTTAATCCATTTTTTAATGAATTTTATGAATCATTCAAGTTTCTAATTAATATTATTATAATCATAGAATGTACCAAATAAAAATCCTCCAATTTTACATGCAAATCCTCAAGGAAATATTGAGGAATCATTAAAACAAGCATGGTTGAAGGCTGGTAATAGTGCCAAGGCCCAACCACAATTAATTTTATGTATTCTTCCAAACACGGGACAACCATTATACGCCGAAATAAAACGTGTGAGCGACACTGTCATCGGTGTTGCGACTCAGTGTGTCCAGATTAAACATACCAGGAAGACAAAAAAACAGTATTGTGCGAACGTTTGTCTAAAAATTAACGTGAAACTCGGTGGAATGAATTCATCCCTTAGTCCTGAACAGATTAGTTTCATATCTGACAGGCCCACTATTTTGATGGGCGCAGACGTTACCCACCCTGCACCTGGATCTGGTAAATTTATTTTTTTTTGTTTTTTTTCCTCAAAATTATTTTTAATATATTTTTGTTTCTCTCAACTCTTTCTAGGCAACGAACGACCATCTATCGCCGCAGTTACTGCCTCTGTGGACTCTAAAGCATCCCGTTATGCTGCATCGATCAGAATCCAAAGAGGACGCACGGAAATCATCGCCGATTTGGGAAACATGGTTAAGGAATTGCTAAAAGCGTTTTACCAAACTTGTGGGCGAAAGCCTGAAAGAATATTATTTTATCGAGACGGCGTTTCAGAAAGCCAGTTCGAAAACGTAAAAGCTATTGAAGTAGAAGCGATTAAAAGTATTTATTACATATTCATGCTTTCGTTAATTTGATTGATTTATTTTGCTAACTTTTAATTATAACAGCCGCTTGCCATGCTCTTGACAATAAATATAATCCTACGATCACGTTTATTGTGGTGCAGAAGAGACACCACACACGTATTTTCCCAATAGATGGTGGTGATACAGATGCATCGGGCAATTGTCTTCCTGGTACAGTAATCAATACTGTTATAACCCATCCGAATGAATTCGACTTTTGTAAGTAATTTTAATTTACATTAACATATACAATTTATAACAAACATTAATAAATGATTTTAAAATCCTTAATAGATTTACAAAGTCACGCTGGGCTATTAGGGACGTCTCGGCCAGCTCACTATCGTGTTCTATATGATGAAAACGGCTTTAATCAAGACGCGTAAGTTAATTTTAATTTAATTTAATAAATCTAATATAGTAACTAATTTATGTATTTAATAATTTAGGTTACAAACATTGTCGTATAACCTATGTTATTTATACGCGCGATGTACGCGTTCGATATCTTTGGTAAGATTGTAAATTGCATTTGTTATTATTGTATGCAGTAATAGTAATAATTGTCTTATATTTAAATAGGTACCACCGGTGTATTATGCACATTTAGTTACCAAGCGAGCAAAACTCCACGCGCGCGGCGGATCATTTAGTGATACGGAGTCCGAGGAAAGCGCAGGTGGTGCTGCGGTCGCATTTGGAGAAGTAAAGCCGGTTCTACAACGGGTAAATATTACAAATAAATAAGCATATCAGATATCTCAAATTTATATCGTTCTTAAATATTTCATATTCTAAAATAAACTCTCCTCTTTAGGTTATGTATTTTATGTAACTATTTTCGCACGAGTCATTGTAAAATTATTTTTCTTTTATTTTTATTTAAATGCATATAATAATAAAGTGTTTTTTATTTAATCTACTTTAAGATTAAATAGGCCACTTTTTTTTTTAATTTTAATATTAAAGAAATTGAAATCACAGAAAATTTTTTATACCAATCTAAAAAAAAAAAAAATCTTAGAAAACGCTTTTACAAATATAATTAAACGTAATCTATTGTTATAAAAAAACTTTTATTAACTTAACTATTTATTACTTATTAGTAGTTTAAACTAAAAAAAAATCTTAATAAAAAACAATTATTAATTTAATAAGTTAATTGTCTATTATTACCGATTTATTGTAAAAATTATAATTATATATACTATCTATTGTATTATACCAATTTATTGTTATTACAGTAAAAAAAAATCCTGGAAAATTTTTTCATGTTTATCTATCGCATTATACCAATTTATTGAAAAAACATCTATTATACTATACGTTATAAAAAAATTCTCAGAAAATTTTTATATCTTTCTATTGCACCATATCATTCTATTGTTGTAAAAAAAAAATCCAGAAAATTTTTTATACCAATCCAATCATCATGAAATTTTTAGGCAGATCAGTTCACGTAATTCCATAATTCCATATAAATTTGTTCAGAAACATATGTAACTCCATACATTCCCACCGAAAATAATATCATGTGTTTTGTCACAGGTTATTTGGAAAATATTGATTTCCACATATTTCCACAATATTTAGATGTGGATTACCATGTGGATTTTAAGTGGAAAAAATTTCCTGATGATATTTATTAAATAACAAATAAAAATAAAAATTAATAAAATCGAGTCGTAAATTCATATTTAAATATAATCTATTTATAAAATTGTGAAAATATTAAAATAAAATATGAATCAGGTAAGACAAGTGATGTGCGTCACATAAATCATTTTGACAAAAAATTTCGGCAGGTGACCCATACTTTAATGTTGATTTTATAAATACAATAGTAAAGTAATATTTTTTTTTAAAAAAAAATATATATATAAATATATATGCATAAACCCTTTATTGATAAAAAAAAAGAAAGAAAGAAAAATAGAAATAATTAACTAAATTTGTTCGCATTGCCCATTTCTCTTTAATGCTTCATTTAGATTAAGCTTTCAAAAAAAAAAAATCATATCTAAAAAAAGATAATAAGTGGTTAATTCTGAAACGTCAACATTCATTAAAATTCCTAAAAATGCAACATATTCTTTCAAAAATTATTAATACAATCAAATAAATTATAAAATAAAGTTCTCATGATGTCTTTTGTGAGGTCTTTTGTTTGTAGTAGTTCATTGTAAAAAATGGAAATTTATGCAACAAAATTGTTTGCATGTATTACATATATTTACGCCATTAAAATTAAATATTTCATCATTTGATCAAAAAAAAAATATAAAATATAAAATAAATATCATATTTTTTTATAATAACGAAGCAAAAATAGTAACTATTTTGTTATCCTTTTACAGAAATTTATTGCCTATATAAGTTACATGCAATATGCATTCGAATTCTTTTTAGAAGTTTGGACAAACAAATAGAACCTCTTTACCATTCTTCGTTCAAAAACCAAAAAGGAAATATAAATATAATGCCGGCCAGAGCTCGTGACTTAATTTCATAATCCATAATTTCGCAGATCCTTTGGCCGGTTATAAATAATTCATGTGATTCGTGATGATTGGCTATGTATTCAAATTATTAATCGAGTCAACTGCGGAAAGTGGGAAACTGTCAAATAAAAATAAAAAATTTTGTGAGAAATTTATTATAAAAAAACAGATTATTTGAAACTTTGGGATAAATATTATGTATTAAAAATATGTCAGAATTGAATGGGTTTATATAAAGAGCATACTTAAGGAATGAAAACCGACATAAATTTGCACCGAAATCATATCTGAATCTAGAAGTTACTTGTTGTACATCGTCACGTGCAGGACGTGACCTTTGCGTAGAAGTATTCAGTTTAGTCCCTTCGGATTAATTATAAATATTTTTTGGGCTTTAACAAATGTACAAAAATGTTTAATTTATGCAGCAAACAATACAGGAACTTATAGGTGTTAAATAGAAATTAATATATGTTATCCACTTGAATCTATGAAAGCACAAACAAGGAAGCAAACTATAGACATTGATCCTAGAAATTTGAGGGACTGCAGTTAGTTTCTTTATAACGAGATTCAAAGGCGATGACATATATAATCTTAATTATCCACCTACATGTATCTATCGTTTACACTATAAATATTGTATGTTGTTTTATTTATTGAATAAAAAAATATAAATAAATAAATAATACACCACCACCACCACCGACACCTTATTTCATCACCAATTACATTACACCGCCTACTTCACCTCCACCTATACCGCCTACTTCACTACGTTTCTGTTTTATAAAAATTTTAAGAGGTATTTCTTTCGATTATTCTTGGTACTTTATAACGAAAAAAAATAATAAATCTACTATTGGATAATATTTATATAATTATGTGAAACCATGTGATTTGATAAATGCTGGTCTTTTCTCCTATTTAATGATTGAAAATTTAATTTAACAATTTTGAAAAGTTTTTTGGAGGTAATTTTATAAAATTTTATTTATTTATTTATTTTTTTTTTTGAAAAAAAAATGAAATAAATTTAGGCGCTTGTATATCTATTTTTACGATAAAACGGTCAATGAGATTTATCATAACATCAGAGGAATTTACAATAAATGACCTCGTCTACAGTGTTCTGAGATTTACGCCCTATAAAAAATGTTTGTCCGATAAATATTCGGAATGGGGTCAATTTTCCGGACACTCGCACGCTATTATACAATATTTGTTACAATTTAATACAAAATGCGGAAATTGAGAATTTTTAACCACATAAAAAATGTACAATATCATAATGAATGTCCAATAAATGTCAAGTAAATGTTCGGAACGGGTCGATTTCTGAACAAAAAACCGAACAGTGTTTGGACAATATTTTTTATAGGGACGACAAACTACAAATAATACAAATACTTTTGCTTTCAACGTACAAACTATGAACAATAACCAAAAATGGTTATACGTAAATTAATTAAATTACTTTGTTCGATTGTTCATTAATAATATAATTCATTTAATTAAGTATTAATCCATAGTATATACAGTATAAAGTATATTCGGAATCATTTTTATTCTCTGTATGATTGGTTCAAACTTCAAACCTATTGTTATTAAATTGTACTACAGTTTTACGCAGAAAAGTACATAACAAATATGATCATCAAAGGGCGTATTTTCGGAAAATTTTTTTTAATTATGAAATTCTAAAAAAGGAATAACCAACAATGATTTAAAAAATTTTTCATTATGCGCTTATTAAACACAGTTGGTACAAAAATATATGAAACATATTGTCAAATAAACGAATAAACGTCAATTTTTGTATGACTTAGTATAAAATATTTACAATGGATTTTTATACACAAAAAAAAACTTCATTCAAAATCCTAATAGGTTGATCAATTTTACTTGATCATGTTTTAATTAATAACTACCATAAAAGAATGTTATATTTTTAAGAAATCCGATGCGTGCTTGGCGTTTTAGAATTTGTCATCTGGACATGTCATTTTTTGTTTACATTTTTTTTTAAACAAATATTCTTCTCAAATCATTTTTTTAAAAAAAAGAATTTGAAATTGTATTACGCAATTTTATCTTTATCATATATAATAAAGCTTTTAGTAGATATGATCATGAAATCGGTCAGGGTTAAGGCATTATAAGATTTATAAGATCAATTGGTTGTAGTGAAATTGTACTATTTATATTATATTTTATAATCTGTCAATAATTATAATATTTTTTTTGAATATTTTAATAATATTATAATACATAAAATTCGTGATATCATTATCATATTATAAAAATTGTCAAAGTTGAACCAAATTGATATATTTATCATCATATAATGTTTTATATTTTTTATAATCTAGTATTAAGAAATGTATTAAGAAACCCATTTTGAAAACAACGTTGACACTGCGCCAAAATCGCGTGATTAATCCGTTGTTTTTCAATGTATCGCCACTACGCTTTTTTAATTTACAGTGAAACGATTTCACTATACCTATTTAACTATTGTAAATATACAGTCAATGCACAATAATTTATTATATATAACGTTGTAAACACACATTAATTGCATATATTAACAATGCTAGTACTATATTACATTTATCTACTTTGGATAGTAATCATGATAACTATTTATTTTATCACATACTCACATGGTTATTTTATAGATTATTGACCGCTGGAACCGGTATTCGACCTTCAGATTTAAATCTGGTCTCCCCGATTTGAATTGAAATTCGAATAAAATCATGAAGAAACAAATCTGGATACAACGAAGGAACTGGACATATAAATAAATCTGAAAATCTGAAAACTGAAGGTTCAGTTCCTTCGTTTCATGAATAATTCGAGGAAAACGGATATATTACAGGTTAAAATACCTCTTGCTTGAAACTCTAATTCGGAAATCTTAAGCAGCAGTAGAAGAAAGTCGAATATCAACACTTTGCTGCCAATGTTTAAAATCGCGTTCATTTTTTCATTGGAACGCCGAACGCAAATTCTGAAGATCGAATAATGAATAGTAAATAAAATAAAAATTTTTAATGAAATTAATGGACATATTTATAATATATAAAAATTAACAAATTGAAAAAACGTTTAAAATTCTTTAACTAGATGAATTTTTTTATAGAGTAAATTTCATAAACGCGATTAGATAATATTTTATAAATGCCATTTTCCTCGCGGGATGCGTGACCATTCCATAAATGCTAGTGGCTTATTACTAATTAATACGCATATTATATATTTCCTTTCGGTTTGCTTCTTTATAAACGTCTTGTCAAATAACAAAAATGAATTGGGAAGCTTTTTTGATTGAGAACCAATAAGAGCAACGCTATAATTCCGGATTATTACTATATAATGGTGGAATATACGTTCATGATATACTTTTAAAATTTATTGAATTTTCAACCAAGTATCCAATTGAATTTTCATTTCCTGACATTTTAACAAGTTTGAAAGGCTTATTCTATTAGAAGAAAAGGGAAATATGTGAAAAAGAAAATTTTTCTTTTTTCTTGAATAACATGAAATAAATGCTGAATATACGTTTTTCTCTCCGTATGCTGTTAAAATTCATTTAATTAAGTGACCTTGTGGTAATTTTAAAAAGAAAATATATTGTTCTAGGATTTAATTAAGATTTATGAACATGAACACTGAGAACACTGAGACAATCTCAAAAAGATGACCTCAGATAAAATCTTTTTAAATGTAATTTTAGTTCATTCAATGAATGGATCTATTGATAATAAACTATATCATATCAATGCTAGATCAGTTATTACTATTGTATGATGCATTTGAAAACATCCTAAACAAAATTTTATAAATCAAATTTGTGTACGCGTAAATTGGCTTGGAATATTAAATAATCATTTTATTCACTGCATGGATAGTACTATAATGCCTTAAAAAATTTACAGACTCTTGGCCGAACACATTACATAATTTTGGCCAGATGTCACGTGACATTTCCTTTTTCGCGTTTTAACGACCGATGGAAAGAGTTTCCATATGTTTATTTTAGGCGTCCAAATGAATTACACAAAAAATGCTGTATAACAATATGATCATCGGCGGCGTATTTACATGAAACTTTTTAAGACATGAATTTCTGTAAAAGGAACGATTAAAAGTGATTTAAAAAAAAAATTATTCATTATAAAAATATGTTGTTTATTTTAATCTAATTATAGAATAATTTGGTATAAAAATATGTGAAACATAAAAATAAACGAGTAAAATTGTTGCATGAATTTAAAAAATTTTTTACAATGAATTTATTATGTACAACAAAAAAAAAATACTTTTTGAAATTTTTAATAGGTTAGTCAATTTTTACTTGATTCTAACAGGTTCAAATGATATTTTATTAATAATAATAAAAGTAATTATTTCATTTTTAAGAACTCCGATGTATGTTGGCGTTTTAAAATTGGTCATCTGTTATCTTTTGTTTGATAAATCTTTTTTTTTTTTAAAAAAAAAAAAAAAAAAAAAAAAAAAAAAAAAAAAAAAAGAACCTAAAAAAGGCATCTTATCAAAGAAAAGAGTCAATGTGAACGAATTAGGCAAATTATTTCTTATTTTTCCTTAAAAAAAAAAGTCCATTTTTTTTTGAAAAAAATAAAAATTGTATCACGCAATCACACAACTTTGAACTTTTCTTCTAATTTTATCACTATATAAATTTTTTGTAGATCGGTGTGATCATTTAAAAATCAGCCGGAGTTATGACATTATGGCATTAAAGATTTATGACGCAGTAATCAACAGCGCCACGCAGATCATATCAAAATGTAATCAAAAATTAATTTTTTTTTAGAATAAAACTTCAAATTAATTGATTGTTTTATTTCTTATTATGTCAAAATCTATTTGGTTATTTTACAATTATTGCAGTTGGACTGTTGGAGTAAAATCATGTATATCTCGGATATGTACGGTACCTCTAAATAAATTTTTGTGTAAATATAACGTGCTTACATAACTTTGCCCATTAAAGTTGTAATATCAAAAGTTCCAACGAACCAAATTATTTAGATTTTTTTTTTTAAAAAAAAAAAGGAGAGAAAATGAGTCGTACTTTATCGCGCATCCTTTTGCATAAAGACATTTTTTCTATTTACATTTTTGGAATATTAATTAGCTAATGTGACCCTTCCGTGACCCGCATTCGGAATTTTAATCCGAAATTCTTCGTTAACAACTGAAACATATTGAAAATAAATTTTATTGTTATGTTTCTAATTTAAATAAAAATTAATTATAAAGCAATGACGTATTTATTTAATAATATATTTAAAAGGAAAACATCATGATATAATCTTCTTTCTTTCAAATGCATTTTGATATAATAATATGTAATATACATTTTTTCAAGACTATTACGCGTATGTTGTATTTGAAATCCCGACTTCCGATAAATAATAATGTCATTCAATCTATTAATAAAAATTCTAAATCATTTTATTTCTTATAAAAAGAGTCAGAAATTACTGGAGAAATGGCAAAAAAATTCACTTTTTTTTTACAAAAAGAAATTCAAAAAATTAAATATGCGTATTCATACAAAAATTACTTCTTATAATTCTTCCTTGATTCATTCTTTAATGCCTATTAGCATTCCTCACTTAAATTCTCTCGACATCATAATATTGCCACAATTTATTTCATCTCTTACAAAACAAACAAAAATTCAATTGATCAATTCCCATTTCTTTTCACTATAATCTTAATAATGTCTCTAGCATAGGCATTCTTAAACGATGGATCGTATAACATTAAATGAAAAACAAAAAATGGAGATTATAGTTAAAATAAGTCAAAATAGTGAGCTCTTAATATAATTATATAATTGAAGTATATTACCACTATTTTCAAATTCTTATTGTAATTATCCCAACTTTACAAAATGAGAATCAAAAATACATTCATTCCTTAAAATTATCTGATTAATAGTTATCTCATCACATCCGTCACAGTACCCGCCGTCCACGTCCAATAATACTTCACATTTGCCTCGATCCAATAATGTTTTTCCTTGCCTTAATTATGCCATTAATAATTGTCAGGAGACAAAATATAATATTAGCATAGAACAATATTTAGAATTTGATCCCTACACTTTCTAAGAAATCAAGTTATCGACAATAAATTATAAAAATTAATTTTTATGTATTCATTCATGACTTAAAATTAATAAAATTTACCAATTTTTAAATTTGTTGCAAGTTAATAAATATTTTTTTATTCATTCAATGAAAATAATAAATTTGGCCTGTAATAATTATCGCCAGTGATATAATTTCACATCTATTGTATATTAATTAAGTAAATGAAATTTAAAATAAATTTCTAATAATAAATAAAATATAATTTCAATTCTTTTTTTTAATTCTGGCCAAGATCATTAATGATGCAGGTCATTCCAAATGATAATTTCTTAATAATTTAAAAAAGAATAAATTAGTTAAACGAGATTTCTATTAATAAAAATATTACAGCGAAATGGCTTTCCTTTTTTGATTTATCTTTTTTTCTCTTTTGTAAAAAAGCACTTTTTTCGCTAAAAAAAACAAAATCAAGGAAATAGCTTTCCATTTAATCGCAGAAGAAGAGGAAGCAAGACGTTTAGAGGAGGAAGATATTATTTTGATCTACCTTTTCTCTTTTCGTAAAAAAAATTTAATATAGGAAATACTGAAATAGCCAATGCGGAACAAATTGTCTTTTATAATTTAGAAGTTTTATTGATTTTTTAGAAGTAATTCTACTGCCACACAGATTGGTTACGTCACATAGATCAAGGACATCCTCTATTATTATGATAAATTGAAAGAACATTTTTTTCCTTCAAATTAAAATAATGTAGTAAAAATTATGTTAACGTGACCATTTGAAAAATGATGTTCCAAAAGTTTTAGTTATGAAATTTGTGTTCAAAAGTCAAATTAAAGAAGAAAAAGACACCAAATAATATAAAGCAATACAACATAATTCGGTATTAGGTTCTTGCTTGAAAACATCGTTATTAAAAATACAAAATTACTTTAAATAATAAACTAAGGTTTGTTCAAACAAGTACTACATACTGTATTTACATACATTTCAACTAAATAAAAATTAAATAACCTAGAGCATGAAAATTTTACTCAATCTAACTAAGAATGAACGAAAACTAAGAAATCAAAATACATAATCCCAATGAAGATAAAAGAAATGAAACATGATACATAAATAACAAAAAATTGAAGTAATGATAAACCATACAGTTATGACATACTAGATAAAAAATAATTAACAAAATTACAAGTAAAGATTGTAACGTTAATATCGATTAATTTTCCATATATTTATTGCTTGATATGACTGGAGGAGTGGAGGATGTATTAATCAAAATCATTAAAATATAGCTCATATGGTGGTGATTGTGGCTGATCGTATTGTTCATCATCTGGCAGTGGCTCTGGTTGCTGTAGCGGTAGAGGTTGTGGGTAGTAAAATTCATCTGGGGATTGGTACATTTGCCAGCAGCAGGAATCATCTGTTTGCAATTGTGATGGCAATAGTAATGGTTGTGGTTGATTACCTTCATATGATATGGGCTGGTAATTTGCATATGGTTGAGGTAATGATAGTTCTGGTGGCGATGATGTTGATGATTGCAGTTGCGGCTGTGGTTGCAATTGTGGTTGATATAGAGGTAGTGTTACTGCTGGTATGCTTTGTTCATAGTAGTGTAGTGGTAGTTGCTGTGATCGGTATGAATAAAACTCATCTGATAGTTGATGCATTTTCCAATATTCATCTGAGTGATCTGACTGCAATTGTGGTGGCGATAGTGATTGTTGTGGTTGGTAATTCTCATATGGTTGAGGTGATGATGGTTGTAGTTGCAGTGATGGTGATGATTGCGGTTGCTGCTGCGGTTGCAATTGTGGTTGATATAGAGGTAGTGTTGGTATGCATTGTTCATAGTGTCCGCGTAGTGGTAGTTGCTGTGATCGGTATGAATAATATTCATACGATCGTGGTTGGTAATAAACACGTGGTTGAGGAAATGGTGGTCGTGGTAATAGTAAAGGTAATTTCTTTTTTGGTGAATGTGGTTGGGATTGCGGTTGCGGTAGTGATTGTGGTTGTGGTGACGGTTGTGGTGATGGTAGCAATCGTGATCGTTTGAATCTGCGGTTTCCCTCAACCGCTAAAATTTTAAAAAACTCTTTTATTTTTTCGGGTTCTTCTTTCCACTTTTTATCTAATATATTTTTAATTTTCCCATTGCAGTCCTTACTTTTATGCAACACCAATTCATTTCGTCGATATAAGGTATATGAATTATTGTTGTATCTATCTTGTAATAATTTATCAAGCTCCATGTTTAATTTACGTGGTGGATTTTTCGTAACTTTTAAAAATTCTTGATAATTTATGGCTTCTTTAATCTCTTTCATTATTTTCTTTTGTAATTAATAAAATGAAAATAATAAAGAATTTATAATTATTAAAATAAAAAATTTTATAAAATGGTTTTTCAATAATTGGTTGATACCGTATTTATATGTAATTTTTTTTTGATTTTGTACGTACTCCGAATAAATTAAATGCAGACGTAACATGACTGATTTATTTGATAAGCATATACTGTATATGGCTTGATCAAAATACTTTTTTGGATTAAATTTTAATAGGTTGAAATCCAACTGCGGTAAATTAATTTTAAACAATGGACACTTTTATCGATAATATAAATTATCAAATTAAATATGACTTTATGCATATAGTCAATTTAATTCTTTTTTAAAGAATTTATTAATAAAGAATAGAATAACTTCAATTGAATAAAAAGTCATCTTGAAATCCTGAAATCTGCAAAATAATCTATGTTGAAAAACTTCTGATCGATAAAAATAACGTTTCTTTATTTAAAGAACCAATCATTTTTCTTAAAATTTTAGAAGATTCTAAAAGAAATTTTTTCTAACATCAAATGATGCATTTGTTGATTCGAGGCATGATAAATAATAATGCGCTTAACCTATATTGATATATATTTAATGAGAAATATGAACTTACATTTTCGGAGTTCTGGAGGAAAAAAAAAATTTAACAAAGAATGGATCACAAAGTTTGGTGTTTCAAAAGGTTTTACAAATTATTAATTTAACTCTTTTATATTTTTTGAAATCCTGTATTTTCAAACAAATTAAACAAATTGGGATATATTTGATGTAACTGCATTTTTCTGAGAAAAAAATTAAAAATCATCTTACAAATTTATTTAATTTATTACGTTATAACGTGCATAATCAAAAAATCTTATTTAAAATGACCTGTATAAATTCCCTGATTTGATTATAATAAAAATTTCACTTAAAACAAATTAAGTAGTTCCTGATCTAAAATAATAATCTCCTTTATTCTGATATAAAATACATATGATTGGAAGATTGTATATATAATGTAAAATTTTTACCAAAAATATAATCATGTTGAGTCCAAATTTGTATTCTATCAGTACGCGTATTACAAATTATGCATTGTATGATTGATTGCGTATCGTTGTGTCCCAATTTATATAAACCATTTCAATCATTTCGATTATCATAAAGTATTTTGTTATTATAGTCGTTATTCATCAATTTAAATAGCCGCAACGTTAATATAAAATAAATTCTATGATTTTATTTTTTTATTTTATGTTTATTCAGAGTAAATGAAGTTTCAGTAGTGATTATTACAAAGATACTACATAATTTTCTCTGTTAATCTTTACATCACGTGTTTTACGTTGAATCCAACATTAGGAACAATGGACACAGCAGATCACATAAAAAAAAATTCTTACTCATTTATTTGTAACTGCAAACACCCCAAAAATTTTTTGTTAAATATAGAGATACATTATAATCCGTAGGATTTTCATGATTTTTTTCAAGAAACGGAAAGGACAACCACCATATTAAAAAGTAATTATAAAAATAAATTTTGATCTTTTTTCTTGTAAGATTGATGTAACTGATTTAATAATGAAAAAGTTATAGCGTCGGTTAAGAAGATTTCAGAATACAGCAAAAAAGCAGATAATTTTTAGGTATGTTTAATTTATTGATAAATACTCATTTTTAATTTTATTGGATAAAATGTTCTTGATTCATGTCGTAATAAGTTCATCTTTTAGTATCTACTTAGTAAATCGAGAAAGGAATAAATAATAATGTGTGTCATGAACCGTTAACGAGTTTATAAGAAAATTTTGTCGAGCGATAATGAAATATTTAAGAATCTTATTAATAACTGAATTTAAAAATGAATATTTCGGGTCAAACTGGAGATGAACGAAATATGTCAGCAGCACTACAACAAGAACGATCGGATGACATCGTTGGTTCCTGTTCGTTGGTATCCTGTGTCGTGGAGTTGAAAGATAGAAAAGAGGGAGGACGATATCAAGCGGTTGTTCATTATATTCCTGAGTAGCCATATTCTAGACAGCAATTATTTGTTTATCATTTAATTTTTCCAACTCATTAATTTGCATCCTTTGTTAACTATAGTATTATTAACATATACCTTTCTTTTATTATCATGACGTAAATAAAAACCTAAGTAAATAATGATTACCTAATGTATTATCAATATTGCTAATTTCTATTTCATTAATTAACGAGGTTTTCTTCTTTACTATTAATTTTGATTAACTCATTTTTTTTTTGATATTAGCTTGAATATCATTGATGGTGAAAAATTCACTAAACTTATTTTATCTCTAGCTATTAACGTGGTGTCATCCATGAAAGCAGTCGTGTTGAATGTTAAATATTCATCTATTTCTTTATCACTTGATTGTACATCGTCTTTATAATATATTATTTCAATTCAATAACAAACTTCATCAGATGTTATGTTACTGCTGTTGTGTAATTTATTATTTTACTATCAGCTATTGATATTATTCCGATATCAATATCGCATAATTGAAATATACCAAGTACTATCAATAAAGTTATAAAACTACACACATGTAAATATTTCTGTCTCTAATCTACTTCATTCAATAAATTTTAAAAAGAAACCTTCCTCCTCCGTCTCTAATCTTTAGAGTATCATAAGGAAAAACATTCGACTTCATTTAATAAATGAAAACCTCTTTATTTCCTCTCGTAAAAATTATAAGTAAAATTTAATCAAAAGAAAACTTTCATATTATCTAAAGAAATTTTAATGCTTTTAATGTCCTAAAAAATAAAATCTTTTAAAATATGAAAGATAATTTTCATTCGCATCACCAGCTTCCTTGATTATTACCATCTCATAAATCCAAAGATTTGTTTAATTCTACTTCGCTTCTCTAGTAGAGTTGCTAACTTTTTGACTATTACGTAAAATGTATCGAATTAAGAATCGTCATTTGCTTGTTATTTTATTTCTATCGTCATCGATATTCATCACACCAACATTCTTATCGTTGGAAAAAAAAATAATCCAGGCATTTTGGCGACGTGGTCCGTTAAGAATAGCGAACTGGGAGGTTTCAGAAGCATTTATAAGAGTTCTTTGCTGAAATGCATACTTTAGTAACAAAATAGTAACACAATAGTAACCAGATAGTATAACTTTTAACTAAAATTTTGATACGATCTGGTAAAGCATTAGTCTACACGCGGTTACAGCGCATTAAAACGACCGCAGATTAATATCACCACGCATCTGTTCAAAAAATCGTTACTATACATAAAACATATTTACCAAGTTTAAAGAACATATTTACTAAATATTTACATTTTTTTAAGATTTATTAAATACGTTGTTAAAATTTATTAAATGGTTTAAATTATCATAAATATTTGATAAATATGTTTTAACTAAGCTTCGTAATAATACATGTGAAACTTAGTTTATTCTTACATTTTCCGGAAGTCCTATTCTTTTGCATAACGTGAACGGTCTTAGTTTACCTGTTGTGAGAAAGATGATTATTAGCAGTGCGCAACAACTTGGTATTGCTAAACATCACCGGTGGTGAAATTATGATGTAATGCCGGCCAGTATTTTATTAGATTTTTAATTCTGGTCGAACATACATCATAATGCTGGTACGGTGACCATCACCGCCGGTGAGCTTTAGCAATTTTCTTTTTTATTTAGTAGTAAAGGAAGGCGCATAGCCAGGTCCCACCTCCGGAACCCAGCAGACCTTTACCAAACAAAGTTCAGGTGCCCGAATTGAGAGTTTGTTTGGAGTGGATACCAAGTTTGTCAATCCGGCAATTCTCCTGATTAACGATAACCAGGAGTTGCCATCCCTTTGCAAAATAAAAAATACGCACCCTTTTTTCTATTGCTGTAAATTCGCTTCTCTTAAAAATCGTTTAGCCCAAACATTATCATTACGATTCAAACCATTCAAAAATGATGATACGCACCTGAGAGTCTGATAGTAATAGATAGTAGTAAAATTAAGCTACGCGCCCTAAAATTCCGATTACGCAAAAAATCTGAATAGGAAAATTAAGCTCTGAAAATAGCCTAATTTAGCGGTTAGCCCAATCTGGTAATTCCTTTCACAATTGATTAGTCTATTTGCCTAGCTGAGTTCAAATTTTCGGATACTCAGATCAATGACAAATCCTGAAAGTTACTATAAATTATAGATCGTCGTAAATTATCTTTTAATACAGTAGTAAAGAAGGTACGACGACTACGACGTACAAATAAAAAATAATTCAAGAAGATAATAAATATTTCCCACAAACTACTTAGACCAAATGATGGCAAGATTATTGATTTAATATTCAAATGAAATTAATTATAAATTTCGTTATTATACTTTAAATTTGTATATAATTATTCCATTAAGAATAAAATAATGAAGATAATATAACAGCATAAAATGAACAATTATGGATATATAGAACATATAACATATTTATGCATAAAAATTATAAAACCTAGAGAGCTTCTTGTTGAATACGTTCAGTTTCATAAATTTATTGTAAGGCATAATTTCGTTTATTTGAAAACAAAAGAAAAACTTGTATAATAAATAATTCTGATAATTTAACTTAATACGTAGATGATACATACTCCAGGATTTCTGTGCCTTAACCATGTTATTATATAGGGTTTAAGTGATGGATAAGCTTAAGTGGCGGACGAATTTAAATAACGGATGAGTTTGCAGTAATGAATAATGAGTTCAGATATTGCAATAAATGAATGAATAGTTTAAATGGCGGAATGGCGGATAAGCTTAATGGAGCTTTTCCAACTATTGCGTCCTCTTTCTTTACGGAATAATCATAATTAATTGATAAGTTAACTTTTCAAAAATTCACTAGATCAATATAACCGATTTTCGTGTCTATCAAAATTGCGTAGTATATCGATGATCAAATGATGTGAATATTAATTTTGGCTGCGGAAGAAAATCAATGTCACGGGTAATGCAGATATCACACCTAGCCACACTTAATTCTTTACGATCGATTGCAATAATAAAAACGTAGAATTCCAAAATTTTATGATATATCCCTTTTTTTGAAAAAAAAAATATTAACCCCTTTTTTTTTGAAAAATAAATAAATAAATAATTCATCTAAATTTATTCTCATTGACCATTTTTCTTTGATAAGTTACTTCGTTTAGATTGGTTTAAAAAAAAAAAAATTTCTAAACAAATGAAACGTCAACATGCATCAGAGTTTCTGGAAATGCAGCTTATTTTAAAAACATTAAATTAATGTCATTTGTAATCAAGTAAAATAAATTATTAATAAAAATTATGAAAGCTTCTATGACGTCTTTTGTGTTGAGTAAAATTTATTGTAAAACTTTATAATAAATCATGCGATACATTTATTTACTTGTTTTATGGTTACGCCATTTGAAATTAATTACTATTTAAAGATTTGATTTAAAAAATTTAAAGTAAACAATATATTTTTATAATAAAAAAAACAAAAATACTTATTTTTAATCCCTATTTATTATTCCTTTTACAGAATTTCATTGATAATCCTATTGTTCTTTGCATTCTTTGTGTAATTCCCTTTAAAGGTCTGTAACAATCTATAGAACGTCTTCACCATCTTCGTTTTGAAACGAAAAAGGAAATCTAACGTTATCTGACTTTGGCCAAAATTATGAAAATTATCACGGGTTTTAGCCCGGGATCTGCAAATTACTCCATCTGGGTAATTGATCATCTATTAATTCCTTATCTTTAAAAGTATGATGTTGCGTAACGCATCCTACCATTATGTATTTATAACCTTTTTTTTATATGTTTTACATTAAATATAATTTATATTATTTATAATATCAGTCAATAGTATATCTTATTTTTTTTTATATATTTTACATTAAATATAATATTATATTATTTATTTATAATATCAGTCAATAGTATATAACGGAAAATATATAATATTATAAATTTTCGTATAAAAATAATATGTAGGTTAAGGTGCTTATAAGGAGGTGTTCTTATATAGAGGGTGATTATATGGGGGTCTGAAGAGATTGGACCCTATGAAAAATTTTTTAGAAAATTGATCATATGTCGGAGTTTTTTTGGAATAAAAACTAGAAAAATGAACATTTATAAGTTTTTTCCGGAAAATTTTTCGTGAGGTGATATAAAAAGTTGATATGTATATATGATTTAATGAATTTCAAGAAAAAATAAATATTTGCGTTAATTTACTTTTAAATGATTTTTATCCAATCAATGGATGTTTAAAATAAATAACTTTAATTATAAAATTTTCTTTCCATATTTAAATTTTATACATTGTAATCGATTTATTATTAATAATTATTTAAGATAAAAATTGTAACAATGATAAATATTATTTGCTGTTAATGAATTTTCTTTCCTCTTCTTCTAAAAGGTTTTACTTTTAATTCTAATTCTTTTTTCACGTATTTTCTAATCTTTTTTTTTTCATGTTGTCGGTATATCATAACAATAAATATAGTCGTTTATCAAATTTAATTACAAGATGCATACTGAAAAAGTTGCGCAAAACAATCAGAGAATTTTTTTAATTATCCAAATTTTTCATTTATACATATCAAAGAATAAAAGAAATTTATTTACATCAAACAATCGCCAATTCGCCATACATCATATCAACTGATGAAAGCCTTTTAAAATCCTTTTCATATCAAATACATGAATTGTATAGAAATGCAAATGATTTTGTAATAGCAATATGATCCAACATTTCAATAACGACATATACGCGACGTAGGAAATTTTGAAATCATAAACTTATTATAAACGCCAAATATACAATTTCTTAACCAGGCGTACTTTAATATAGATTACACCGCATAACGTGCAGTTTCTTTTTAAGATCACCTTTTTCTTTTCTAAGTCAATTATTAAACAGTTGTTTATAACAAAATTTTAAACTTTCACTATTTCTTGTCGGTTACGACGGATACGGTTTGATATTTGTATACTGTATGTTTTTTTTAAGTTCAGTATCATTGAATTACTGACGTCGTCAGAGTCATAAATATTAGGGATAATATTATTAATTTTTTTCATTTTAATGTAATTTTGATTAAATTTATTCGCTAGTGTAAATCAATACAATCAGATCAATAATAATTATGAAAGTACGTTTGATATCTGATATTGATCTCCATATAAAATTTATAAGTAGGACAGTATTATTGACAAAATTTGCTCTAACTTTCGTCTTATTCGTTATTCTCTTCTCTATTAGACTATATAAAAAAATATACACGCAAAATAATAAAAAATAAAAAAAAAAGAACGTTAATAATAATAACAATAATTGTTATAGAGCCAGCATGGTACGGTACGCTATTATATTTTGGAAATTTTATTAGCTGTATATAAGTTACGATATGGAATTTTTTTTGAATTATGTGAAAATATTTGAATTTTTTTTATGCGGAATTTCAATTAATTTACAAATCTCATTATCAATAACGAGCACGTCTGAAATATGTGCCATTTTTAGATGGACATCAGCATCAATGCACCAAATGCACCATAATCACCCAGCGATAAATAACTTTGCGACAATTAGGTACACGTTATGTAATGTTAAAGGACATCCCTAAAAATAAATTTTTCTAGTTTTTATTCCGAAGAAACTCAGGCACGTGATCATTTTTCTGAAAAATTTTTTATACCGCCTGGATGTGAAAGTGTGTAAAATACTTGTATCGTAGACCTAGTTCACATGGAATCTAAAAATAAAAAATAAAAATAGAAAGTGTGAAAAATAGTCCAGATTTTACCCTATAAGTTAACTCGATACACATTTTTCGAACGGCCAATAAAAAATGACAAAAAATAAAAAAAAGAAAAAAGTTTTATGATTTTGTCACCTAAATCAAATACTATCACAAATATTTCGGAAACATAATTTTAAAGAATTTTTATTAAAAATATTGAAAAAAATTATGATTATTAAATATAATAGCTCGCGAGTGTAACATTTTTAAAATAACTGTTCATAGTAAATTTTTCGATGAGATCATCCGCCCTTAAGAACAAATTTTAAATTAAATATATATGTTATATTATTAGCTATTAAGTTAATAGAAAATTTTAGCACTTACTTTATCAATAATTTGATCATCATCTTTTGTTTCTTATTGGCTCCGGTAATTTCTGGTTGAGCTTCGCTAACAGTATTATACTAGGACCCAGAAATATATATAAAAGGGTCAGGTTTGAGTTTGCGTATTTTGAACTAAAAAAATCATGAAAATCTTTCCTTTTTTAAATAATTTTAGATAATGCCAGTCAGAATTTTATTTCATATTATAGTAACCGACTGACATTATCATAATTCCGGCCCTGAAAAAATGCGTACAGCTCATAGTAAAAAAATTTTTTCATCACCTGACCCCTATATATATATTTCTGGGTCCTATTATACTTCTGGATTTCAGAGGCAAACTTGAAAAAATTCTCTACAATGATTTCTTATGAAGTCTCCCATATAAGGATGACTGACTTATCTAAAGTGTAATATGAATATATAATAGCTATTTTTTTTAATGATAATAATAAAATAATTGGTTTTTTTTTATTTTAACACCGAATAGTCTATAAAAAAGATGTGTTACTAACATGACATCCAATAAATATATCAAAATTAGGAATCCATATTTATGTAACACGGAGAACAATCAATATTTTATTTATGATGATCCTTTTCTAAAAATTGTAAACTTTAAGAGCGAAAAAGTAATTCTTTTTAAAATAAATTCGTCCTAGTTTGTTAGATTAATATTTCTAGAAAAAGAGGCGGGTTGCTAATTCTAGAATGGAATTTCCAACCATACACTTTTAATAAAAAATTTTTAATCGGCTTCATCCGTAAGAGATACATAAATGTATCACACAAAACAATATCTATTAGACGCAGTAGGTGAAATTTATTGTTGATTTAATGCTTATCAATAATGGTATAACAGATAATATCAATTATTATTATTATTTTTTTTTGTTTGGGTAATAATTGATTTTTTGTTAATCCCATTATAATTTAAATAGTGTATAAATTATTGTACCCTATTTTTTAAAACAAATGATTACTATAAATTAGTAAAATGAACAATACTTGCTAATAATTTTAGAAATGTGTTACAAATACATATTAGCGTTTCATAATCAAACCAAATAAAGTAAAAAAAAGGAGGGTTGAAAAATTTTATAAAGGAGACGAAATTTTTTTAAAAAATTTTTTTTTTCTTTACACATATATTTGCTTAATTTTTTAAAATTTTTCACAAAAAATTTATATTTCTTTACTCTCATATGATCATCTATCAAAATTTTACCCAGAAAATTTTTTATAAAAAATTTCTTCAAACAAATCAGTCGGAATTATTCAAGAATATGATTCAAGAATTTTCCAAAATAATTCCAGTAGATGAACAGAGGTTATCAACAAGTGGTATATGGAAAAATGAAGCTAAAGGTGCAATTGAACTGAGCTCACGAACAATATTTGATGATCTAAGCACCTTGATCAAAAAAAAAGGCTTTAGAGCACTTTCAAATAATGAATATACTTCATTAATTGAAAGTGCATCTTTTATAATGACCCGTAAGTGTTGTTCATTAAATATTTTTGATATTTGTAAATAATTAATATTTATTAAATTTTAATTCTATTACTTTACAGGAGATCATATTAAAGAATTTTATCCATTGATCATAATATTTATTATATTTATTGTAAATCTAATAATATTATATTTTTTGGCACGTTGGAAAAACCCTGAAGGAAGAAACATTGCCATATTTGAGACTGCATTAATAATGCAAAGATTTTGGTGTGGAGTAGTTAAAAATACTCCACACTTAATAGGTGTGGAGTTAAAAATACTCCACATTTAATAATTCCAACGTAAGAAATTTTGTTTAATATTATGTTATTTTTATTATTTTAAAAGTTAATTTAATTAATTTATTTATTATTATTTAGTATGGTATTTCTTATTGTACCACATTACCGCAATTTCTTATTGGCTATAAATATTCTTTTGTCTGAAGTAGCTACGAATCCAACGTTCTTTACTTGGATTCGGAGCTTCCAACACTATTGTCAATTTGTACATATTCAATAGTGTTGTGACGTACGATCTTGTACTTGGATTAGTTATAGGAAATAAACTAATTTTAAGATCGTATCACGCGTTAGTGAGATGGTATCATCGACGTGATAAAATTATAGACTTTAATAGAAATAGACATTTATCAGCCAGTAATCTTAGAAAGTAAATTTAATAGAAAAAATATATAGTAAATAGATTGTAAATTATTTTATTATTTATTATTGCTAAAGCTCACCGACGGTGATGGTCGTGACCATCACTGCCGGTGAGCTTTAGCAATACCCTTTAATTTTACCATTAATTTAATAAAAATATAAATACTTTTAGACTGCACCATAAAAATGTATTCATTTTTTTTTTTTTTTTGGAACATCGTTTATTGGATGAATATGAAAAGATGATTGTCTCTGACCCAACAATAAATATTTTCTATTTGATCAATAAAAACCCTAATTCATTAAAACTTCAAACTGGCTCCCACATCCTATTAATTGCTTCTATGCCAAAAATAACAAATTTTACACATCTTGTCATAATCAACTCAACAATTAAGTTTTTTATTTTTATTTTTATTTTATTTTACTTAGAAGGCGTGAATACATCGTTTAGTTACAGACTTGTTATGACTACAAGGCACAATATAAGTACACAGCTAAACTAGACATACAAATCCAACGGGCGGACCCACCCTTCGTTAGAACGAACTGGGAAACATAGTCGCCATAGCAGTGAACGAACAAAGAAATTAGAAACTAAAGTAAAAATAGGGGACGCGTACCGAGAAGAATTAATTAAAGAAGAACTATCTATGAAAACAGAAAGTCTAGCGAATGATACCACGGTAAGTTATGAAGGAAATTTGAAGAGGTAAAATAAATCCACATGACGGTAATGTCAAGGATGCGTCTATCATCGCCATACGGACATCGATACTGCCAAGGCGATTGTGTAGGTTGTCGTTGTGAGTGATCCCTCGAGGGTGACGAATATGTGTTTGTCTACGTCGGTAGTTTTGGAAGGTCTTTTTAGATATGATTTCCATTCTTTGAATTTTGAGTTACGTGTTTTCCAAATAGTGTTGTAGATTTCAACGTGTAGATCATGAACGAATGATAATAATAAACGTTTGATACGCTTCTTTGATTTAATAGCCGCTTGAAAAGGTGCTAAAAGTTCGTTTGGAATATAATTAAGTAAAAAAATCAAATAAATGTTTGTTTAATAAAATTTCTGACATCGGTTTTCGAGTCCAAGAAAATATGGCACAAAATCCGATAGCAACTTGCCAAGTACAAGCTGGCGAATCGGCATTCGCTTGTAATTTGATAGCAAAGTTGTTGAATATAGTAGGTATTAATAAAGTGATTGCTTCCGGGCATTGCCATAGATGAAGATTAGACTCGTCTTCCATATTACATAAGAAACACGTTTTTACGCCTTGCGTGATATCAGGGTAATTTTTATTCATGGTAACTCAACAATTAAGTACCGGGAAATTTTTCTAGGGGATATGTATTAATGAAAAGGTCGCATAACATACATCGATATTAATCGGACTCATCGAGTAATATCAATATGGATAAGTAGTGATAAATTATCTGAATTTAACCTAAATGGATATATCGATAAAAATCACGTCGAGTAATATCAATATGGTTAAATAGACAATAATCATCAGTAGCGTTAAATAACATTAGTTTATTAAATAATATTAAATTATTTTAGCATAATTTTTATTACATTAATAAATTAATAAAATAAATTAATCAATCTATACTAAATCTATATACTAATCCCAAAAGTAAACGGTTAAAGTTAAGTTTTGCAAGGAAACTTTCTAATTGGATCCTTCAAAACCTAAAGAAAAACAAAAAAATGTTAAATGATTGTTTTGTTGAAAATATATATATATATGTTTTTTAAAAAACAAGCCCGATATCTACCTTGAAAGAAATACCGATATCCACCTTCCCTGTAAAAAATCTGATCTGTGTTTTATCTTACCATTTTCACGGAATTTTTACGGAAGACACGGAGAAATAATGGAAATATTCGGATAAAAATTTTTTATAGGGCTTGAGAAATGAAGAATCGACCATTTAAAAAAAAGAAAAATAATGAAATGTTAGTAAATGCTTTGTTAAATAAATTTTTTAAAAAAAAATTTACCAATGTGAACTTCCCATGCGTTATTGTCAAGAGATACGGCCGTCTAAAAAAAAAAGAAAGATAACGAAATGTTAATAAACGTTTCGTTAAAATAAGTAAATTACAACTTCTGAAATCTACAAATAAATTAATTATAGATTAAATAAGTGCTAGGCCACAAAAAGATTAATGAATTGGTTACCCTTTTGACATATTCAATTATGCATAATTTTAAATTTTTGTATGTTTTGTCTAAAAAAAAAAAGATTAATAAAAATATTTGTACAAGCAGTAGATTATCTAAACTATATCAATTTGATAATTTACCTGAACATATTTGATATTTTAATCAAATTCTCTTTTCTAGTTGATGATTTCAATAAATCAAATCTAGAATAATGTGCATCAAAAATAAACAGTATTGTTAGTATTAAAATATTTCAAAAATTGCATTTAGGATTAAGAGATAGTAAGTAATTAATATACATAAATATAAGTATATTTTTTTTAACTATGACTAATTTAATTATATGTAAATTTTTCGGATAATCGAGTTAATTATGAAAAAGATTTTGTAAAACAGAAAGTAAAGAAATAAAATGTTGATAGTATGCTTCTTTATTAAAAAAGATAAATATATTACTTCATTATGGAACTTATGAAATTTGATCCTTTTCAAAAGATTCTTTTATCTCCAGATTTTTTATTTTATTTTATTAAATGAAGAGGGTCGCAAGAGTGAGTGATACATGAGTAAATTACAAAAATACTACGCTTTTGTCTTCAGATGTATAATTGATTACACGTGATCAGGATACGATGTGATTGCTTGGAAAGATTCCTCGTGACTAAATTTTTTATAAACTTTGGATAATTTGAATATTATCGTTATTATTGGATCAGAATCATCATAATCCACATGATATGTCAAAAAAAAAGATATTTCTATTGAGGATCAGTTAGATCAGATAATAAAAAAATTTTCAATTAACAAAATCAAAAGTTATATCTGGAGGTGATGAAAGTTTACGTCTGCAGGGATGAGTAAAATATAACTAAAATAAAAATATTCGACAAGTCACGCATGAAATATTAAGACATCCGTTTCATAGTCTACATCGAGTGTTTTCTCCTAATATACGTTTGTGTAGTATTAAGGAAAGAAAATTATGTTATCGTTACTATCGAATGATATTTAAGATCACGACGATGTAAATATCAATTAAATTTTGAAATTTTCGTCTTCATCGTGAAAATTTGTTATTATATATAGTTTTTAGATAAAATACTTGGCAAGTTCTAAAACAGGAATGATGAGAATGGGGCGAGTATGTATTATGATCGGAAAAGATGATATTTTCTTAAAAAGATTATTACATACATAAATGATATATCCGTCCCATCTGTTCTACTTCGAGTTATCATGAATAAAAAGAAAAGAAATAATAATTTTGCGTCAGCGGCGGACACAATTGTAAAGCAGTTTTGCGTGATGCAGGTTATGAGAATTTAAATTTTTTCATCCTAGCATAAAAAAGTCGCATGTCAATCACTCGAATTAAAACTCTAATTATGTCATTACTTCAATTCATTATGTAAAAAATTAAAATGTCCTCTTTCTCAAATAAACGATCGGGAACTGCCGATGATCATTATTTTCACACAACCGAGTAATTGACCCAAATGAATTCCAATCATTCCAATCAGTTAACGTAAATATTCTATTGATTGTTCCACGAATTAACTTATTAGATATGTATAATAACTTTTTAAAACAGCCTTTATTTTACGTTAAGGTGATGTAAATATAATTGTTTTTTTTTTCTCATCCCGGAAGGACGGAAAATATCTACAATAAAAAATTTAAATTACAAAGGATGATGATTATTGGAATTTATATATAATGACAATCGTAAGAATTTTTACCGGCCCGTATTTCTACTCACCCAATTTCTAAATAAAAAAAAAATTTAAACCATATGTCTCAGTTGTCTCACGTTATTTATAAATAATCGTGTTACGATCACGTCTTCAAAAGTTTTATGAATTGCTAATTAATTCACGCCGAACTTATGATGATATTCTGTTTCCTAATCGGTTTTTATTTTGTTAAATTTAAAATCAATTATAAACAAAATTTGTAAATAGGTATAAAGAACAATTTAAGGGGAGATCACCAAAGATATCTAAATATGAACGATCCTAATTTGAATTTGAACATGATATAAAATCAAACCGATTGAAAATAATATTTTCCCATTTAAGATCTATATTCATCATCCAGAACAAACATCGTCCTGAACAACCGCCATCAATTATTATTCGTATTCATCATAATCCTCAGATTCGGTATCCACTTGGTTATTTTCTTTTGCATATTTCCATAGATCTGTATAGATAACTTTCCTAAATTTAATACTAGCTTCTCGGCATTTTGCGATCTTCATGATTATTTCTCTCTCGATATTCTCTGCCATTAGTCTCGCAAACATACAAACAAATACTCCACAAGAACTTCCATCTACTTGCGGAGGGTCTCTATTTCGAAACATTATATCCAACGAAAAATCAACTTGACGGTTCAAATTTATCTCTTCAATTACGTTCGAGTCATATTCACACGCAATTCCCTTACCCAACTTAACTTTATGATTATATTCGTCATTCAACCAATTGATGAGATTCCCCCCAATAATGACGGCATCTTCTGTTGTTACCATCCCTAGTGAATCAAAGATAGCAATTCTAAACTGTTCCTTCATAAATATTGCGGCTAAGATCCAATGTGCCTCATTTAAATTAATTGGAATAAAGATAATATCTTTTTGAAAAATTTTAATTCTTTTTGTCCAATGCTCGACAGAAGAATATTTGTATCCGTCATTTTTTGTTAACTTTGTATAAAAAAATGATGTAAGAGAAAATACACGATGAAATTTCGTATTCAAATAAGAGAGGTAGGCATTTATATGATCAGAAGAAAACCAAATATGTTTGTCACATAATTCATATAATTTTTCTGCCGTTATAGATTCGGAATTAATATATATAACATCGTGATTGTTGTCTTCATTTCTTCTCAACCATTTCAACACTTCTAATCGGGTACTTTTTTCATAATTAAAAATTTCAGAAACTTCAGGAATTCTTTCTACTCTGTAGTAATGGTTGCTTCGTTGTCTTGTCGATCTTCTGAAGTTATAAACGGGTGGCGTACTCGTACTACTTGTACTAATTTTAAAATAAAAATTATTTGTAAATAAAGTTAAAATACATTTTTTTTTTAAGAAACAAACAATAAGTTTTGGATATAATTAATTACCTTTCATAATAATCATTACTTGGCGTCGTATCTTCGACAGTCAGTTCATCACTAGCCATTATAGCGTTATCCGTAATATCATAAAGGTCTGACATCTTTTTTTTTGATATTTTTATTTGAATATAGAAATTGTAGTCAAAACTTTCGAGAAACTGACGAAAAATGTAAGAAAGAGTAAAAGTATTTTTTTTTTGTTTTTTTTTTTTGTTTTTTGATCTTTTTATAACGAAATTACGCGTAAAAAAAGTTGTTATCAAATACAAATTCTAAATCTGAAATAGTCATCAATATATGTTACTATAAGTAGTAAGCTAACGCAACATTATTTGATTAATTTAAAAAATCCGTACAACAATAAAAAAAATCACCCCTTTTCCGGCGTAAACCTGAAAAAAAATGTCACGAAAAATCACGTGGCATTTTTTCACCAGCGGTGCATTGTTTCCATTTTTTATAGGGACTTAGAAATTTATTTAGTAACAAAATCCTACTCGTCACGCACTATCCGTCACATGTGCGGCCATTTCGTCATTTTACGCGCTGAATTTGTTACTGCGGTATTCACTGTACTACTATTACACGCTTCTCACGGCTTAAAATAATTTTTTTTTTTGATGCGTTTCTTTTACCGGTAATCCACCTTTGCGTTTACCATCCTTGTCACAGACTATATATATTTTTTGTGAGTATGATATATACCTCCGATGTTGTATAGTATAATTGACGAAAATAAAATAATTTATTTACTACACGTTTAGGTAATTAAAAAAACTATCGAAAATGCAATAAATGACGATAAACCAAAAAATTAGGTGAGACGTTAATTTTCCCTGCTTACACGAGATTTTGAAAAATCATTAAGGTAAGATTTAAGATTTAATACCAAAAAATTTTTCGTTTTAAAAGAAAATCTAGGGGATCAGTTTTTATTAATACTTCAAATATTCTAACTTCAGTTGAATGATCTCAATCTTCATCTGATAAAGAGGCCGTAATAATTTATGTAAGTTCATGCGAGCTAATTTTCAGAATAGTAGCAATTTCATTATTGATGGTGATATTACTATAACCGATCAGAACATGAATATGGCGATATGGTTGTCAGTACGTTTATAATGATCTTTGTTATAATCATAGAATTTTACGAGAAAGGACGCGCAAAAATTAGCTATATGGATGTATAAAAAGAACATAGATCAAATTACTCAAGATTAATGATGTTATTTTTTTTTTAAAAAGTCAAAGTACGTATTTTGCTGAAACACATGATTTTAGAAATATCAGAGTTTTCTTATAGTATTTGAGTACTTTCCCAATCATCATGAGATTAATATTAAGGGATTTTTAATCTACACTTGAACGATATACACAAAGCGAGGAAATTTTGAAATTATTCTTAAAAAAGATAATTGGGGATTACTAAACGTTGCCTGGGTGATTGTCGCCTGGGTTTTTTTTTTCAAATATGTTACATGATGTACAATATATAGAGTAAATTTATTAATCGGGTGATGGCTGATTTTTTCTAATTTTTGATCGGTTAAACTTAAAATTTTATTGCAAAAGATATTTTTAAAAAAAAATTTTTTTGCAAACATATTTATTCAATAATCTTATTTAATGAAATTTTAAAGAAAAAAATCACCATTACATCATATTTATTTTTATTGAAGTGATACAAATAAAAGAAACAATAACAATAAATAAAAAGGATAAGTAAATTACAAAGATGCTAATGATGAAAGGGAGTAAAAAAGAGTAATGAGAAGTGATAGGAAACAAAAAGGAAAAATAGGACATGATGAGAGATGAAAAAGAGTGATGGGAAACGAAAAGAAGTGATGGGAAGATGAAGAATGATGGAAGATGAAGAATGATGGAAGATGAAGAATGATGGAAGATGAAGAATGATGGAAGATGAAAAGGAGTGATGAGAGACAAAAAGAAATGATGGGAAGTAAACAGGAGAAAAAGAGATAATGGAAAATGAAAAGATGTAATAGAAAATAATGGGAGACAAAAAGATGGAATAATGAGAAGTAATGAGGTGAAAAATGATGAGAGACAATAAATAAAAAAACACCCTTATTAATTGTAGAACCGAAAGAACTAAAAAAAAATGGAATAAATTAGTGAAAAACGAAATATGAAACAGAAACAAAATAAAAAAAAAAAGAGTAAGAAACGAAACGTAGTGAAAAACAACTGAACCTTAATTGCAGAACCGGAAGGACTAAAGGACCTAAAAATAATGAAATAGAGTTAGTAAGAAACAAAGTGTAAGAATGTAAGTTAGAAATAAAAATAAAAGAAAAAAGAAAAATACCTTGAGATCGAAAGAACCGAGGAAACTGAAAACGAGATTCACGTGATCGAAGACCAGGCGATGATCGCCCAGGCGATGTTTAGCAATTTGTAATTATTTTCTTTTATCCGGATCAGAATTCCAGCATTCTTTCATTAATTCAATAAGTGATCGTAACATTGAACGATATTCATCCATTTGTTGCATATAGAAAAGTGATTCAGCCTATTAGAGAAAAAAAAAAATATTTTTAAATTTAAAGAAATTACTATATTATCTCTTTTAATTCCCTTTTTAATTTTGATTACAAACCTCTTCAAACCAACTTCGGTCCGCACTTTTAACATTCTCTAATTTTTTAACTATTACTTTTTGTTTTCCAAATTCCAAATCTTTTTAATAGCTGTTCATTCTCTGTGTTGTCCATCAATCCAATCTACTGAATAAATTTCAGAGCAACTTTTGTTAAATAATCTAACCTATCATATGAGATCCATTCAGCTACCGATTGGCATTTACGTATTAAATTATCAATATCGTCATTTCTATTTTCTAGATGTCAAGTATAATAATTTGACTTTAAATAATTTGAACACAATATTCACAATATATGGAGGCCAAAACAACTTTTTTTACAATTTCCACAAGGTCTTGTTTGTAATTGTACTAGAAACGTTTTTTAACGTTTCGAATTTTTTTTTTAAAAAAAAAATTTATCGGAACGTTAACTATACCGTTCTATTGTTAAAAAAAATCCCAGAAAATTTTTTTATACATACCGATCTATTTATTAAAAAAAAAATCCAGAAAATTTTTTTATATTTATCTATTGTACCATACCGACCTATTATTATTAAAAAAAAAATTCTGGAATTTTTTTATACCGATTTATTATTAATGTTACTGGGAACAAAAAAAAATTTTGCTTTTTTTTAGATCGGATACACCGCTATTAGACTATTTAAAAAATACATTTTTGAAATTTTATCAGCTGTGTCTATAATAATACAAGTTATATGTATAACAAGTATGGTACGGTATGGAATTTGTTTTGAATTATATGAATTCAATTAATTTACAACTTTTATTATCAATAACAAATAGCACAGATTTTACCCGTATAAGTTAACCTGGTACACATTCTTGACCGTCCAATAAAAATGAATGAAAATAATAATTTTACGCATCTTGTTCGCTAGCGTAACATTTTTAAAATAACTCTTTATTCATTTATAAAATACAAGGATTCCTACAATTTTATTACAAATAAAACGAAATTAGAATTGACCGCGTACCGAACCTAAATTCAATATTATTCTTAATTGGTTTGAATTTTTAATCCTCTCAGTTCATTATCAAAGCCTAAAATTTCCAAACTATTAATCTCTTTTCCCTTATCTAATCTAATTAATAATTAACAAATAGATTAGTATTTATTTAGTAACTAGTCTATTTTAATGATCATATTCTTTAAATTGTACGAAAACTTTTTATTTTTCTTTCATTCTGTACAAATTTAATATTACGTTACTATTTTTTTTTCGCAATGGAACTTAGTGATGTTACGTAAATGATTTAAATAGGAGGAAAATATAAATAATCACTTTAATATATACAATACAGTATATACACTTCATTTTTTTACTTGTGTAAAAAAACGCATTTTTAGACAATACGTGCATATACTTTTTTTTTGTTACACAGCAAACATACTTCCCGCAGTCGAAACAACAGATACGTAACCGTCACATGACAATTTACAACCAATATTATTTATTCACATGCCATCATCTTCATCCTACATCAATCTTTTGTACGAAAAAAATTCTTGGATACTTCTATATTTAAATCTTACAAATTTGATAAAGAACTTTCAAATTCTATACAAGGAATTAATAATAATAATGATATTAATAACAATAACAATATTATTCATAGAAAATCTATAGCGATACCGATTTAATATCGAATCCAAGTAAATATTATAAAGATGTGGAATGGAAAACTTTAATAAAAGAAAAATTTACTATCACGATAACAATAATATTATCTCCAAAACAAATTTCTTCTATTGATAATGTATTGTCATCTCCTAATGGTGAAGTTGATATTTCATTATTAGTACCTCCCCTGATTCCGATATACAATTTGATCAAATAATACTGATGAATGGAAAGAATTCCTTTATAATTATGCTCAAGGAAAATTTAAGAAAATAGTTAAAATAATCGCAAGAGTTGAGGATAATAATAATGATAATAATAACGAAATATCTGTATGATTTTATTATAGTATGATTTTATTTCATTTGATATAATCCAAAAAAACCAAATTCTCTAAACTATTGATTGTCGTAATGATGATGATGATGATGATGATGATGATGACCTTCCTTCTCCCATGCCTCCTAATGAAGTTGAACGTAGAAGAGCGTTATGGAGATTTCATACATCAAATGATAATTTACTCGTATAGTAGCATTAGTATCAAAAAAACATTTTAAGACATCAATATCAATGATATCACTTCTCAATACGACTCATCAATGGTTTAAAGCTGAAGATAGTATGGGATGTAGTGAAACTACTAGGGAAATAAGTTTTTGTCATGCTATATTACAAGAAAACGGCGAACCATTTGTGATACCACTAAAGATTGGAGATTTTGTAATAATCCTTTAACTACTGATTCTCCTCTTATAAGATTTTATGCTGGCGCTCTTTACGAACCGATGATGGTGGTACGATATGTGTGATCGATCGTGAACCTAGGGATAATTTTTCAAAAAAGGATCGTGGAAGTTTAAAAGAATTTGCTAAAGTTGTCATGAGAGAATTGGAACTATGATCTAATACTTTACGTTTACGTGTAAGAACGAGACTGAGGAGAGTATAGCTGAATTTAGCAAATTCTGTTTGGAAATTCAATTAGCTAATAATTCTAATAACAAAGAAAATAAGGTAAACCTACTTTGGTGATCCTATGCTTTAACATGGCAGTTACATTATTGAGGGACATTTTAGATGTAGATTCGGTTTATTTATTAGATGCCTTGCCTTTAGTTTCGTTCATGATCTATAACTTCTCGTACTTCAAGTAGATACTCCGCTTCCTGATGTATCATCAAATAATTTAAGATCTCTCGCTTCTGCTGGTGAAATTTAATTATACTCTGAAGCTGTAAAAGCTTCTTTGATCATTTTTTATTTCGTTTATTTAGTGCAAGCTCGTTCACAAGGTTGTATTTATCAAAATTCTTTACCTCCATTACCAACCCTCTTTCTTGATTATGTACATTCCGATATTGTTGTATCGATTTATAATGATACATAAAATGCTTTGGTTTCTTAATCGCTATGACAAAAGATTCACAAAGACAATTGGAAGATGAAGAACGTGTTTATTTGAGCAATTTTGGTGTAAATGTTGTTAGTAAAGTATTAAAAAGTAGGGTTATCGTTGCTGATAGGGCAAAAGGTGCATTCATTTCTTCTATATTTCAGAATTAAGAACTTCTCTTCATGGTATTTTAGAAAGTTGTGAATTAATGGAAGAAAGCAAGTTAAATGAAGTTCAAGCTGAATTTGTTAAAAGGTTGTGGAACTTCTTTAATAAGTGTATTAGATTTTGCGAAATTAGAAGTGAAAACAAGATTACGTTGAAGATCCAATTAACCAAAAGAAATTAAGCGAAAAAGATAATGATATTAAAATAGTGAATAGGAATAATAAAAAGAAAAAAGAACAGAAGGAACGAATTGATTTAGTCAAATTATTAGAAGTATCTGAAGCTTGTTTCATAGGTCAACAGATGTTTACTGATATATATAATAATAAGATAGCGATTCTATGAATAAAAACATACAATGATGAAGAAAATTTATTAATAGAGAATGCGCATATGATTTATTAATCTCCACATCAACAAGCTGATGATGTTTTACTTATGATTGACGTTTGAACCAAGAGATGCTCGTCGGTGGGTTATGAGCTGAAGATGGTGCATTAAAACAATTATTATTAATGAATGTAAGTTATGAAAATAAAACACTACTTTCCAAAAGAAAAAAAAATCCGTTTAAACTAATTATGATTTGATTATTTAGATTATCTGTTATCGGGTAAATTTATGACCTATATGAGGATAAGCTTGTGAAGTATAATTCTGGATTTTACCCAAATTACACGAAAATTAGAGCGTAAGTGTAACAATAACAGATATAACGGATTGACTCAACCCCTTTCAAACTTGGTTGATTGTTTAATGTCTATCCCACTTCACTTGTTTGTGTGATCGTAACTTCTCTTTCTCTTCAAATTTTTTTTTTTTAAAAAAATGTGAGTACTAGTTAAATTGGAACGGTAATTAAATGTTATTCGAGTTATTAATATATTTGTCTTTTTTTTTTAAATAGAAATTCCATAAATTTACGAAAAAAGGATATCTGATATGTCTTAATTTCAATAGCATCATTATCGTATTCATCATTAAGTTATCAATATAAGAAACATGCAAGAGTACAAGATATCAACAACAACGGATACATCGTCATCATCAAATAAAATTCACGCGTTAATAACAATAACTTGATACAGGATGTGGTATATCACCATCATTTTATCAACAAATATGTTTCTACCATTTTCTCGGGAAAATTCTTTACAAGTTGGTACAGGATTAGGACTATCTATCGTAAAATTATTAGTAGAAAAAATGGGAGGTAAATTAGATGTTGAAAGTGAAGTTGGAGTTGGTACAAGATTTAGAATTTGGTTAGATTTGATGATTAGGAGATTTTAACCCTTTAGATTCTTTTAATGAAAATGATAATTTAATTAAAGATTTTGAAGAAAAACAACGAAAAATTATTCTTGAAGAAGTGAAACAAAAAGAGTTGTAGTTAAATGTGTCGATGGGTAATTAAAAGAAGTTGTTGAAAAATATTTTAAAGGATGGCTTAAAGTTAAAGAACTTATTTGTGAAGATAAAGAAAATGTTACTGATAGTAATTTAGATGGTGATATTATATTTATTATTGATGATATTGATCGACTTAAAAAAATTATTTCTAAAAGTTGATTCTAAACAAGCTCCTATAGTATTTACGACTATTTTAGCAAAACATGGAAAAATAGCAGATTTTGTAAAAAAAATTACAGAAAGAAATTGAAGAAATTCAACTTAGAAAAAGAAAAAGAAGAAAAGTTGTTATTCTTACACGTCCATGTGGAACTCGTAAATTAGAGAAAGCTATTGTTTCTGTACTTTCAAGTCCAAAAGATGATGAAAAATTATTGGAAGAGGAGAATTCATATTTTCCAAAATTGATTATGACATCACCAATTTCATTCATTAATTATAATTCTTCAAAAAAAACATCTCCAACTATTAACGATCCTTCAAATAAATCAGATTCTGATTCACATTACTTTCCGGTGCACCACCCTTACGACCTCGTTTTAACCGTTCCACCACACTTCCAAATCTTCATTTATCATCTGAAAATAAAGAACCAAAAATTTTTACCTATTCCGAAATCAACTTTTTTTTACTTACCCCTTCCACTTCACCTTGCGCAACGCCTACTACAATGTCAACTTCGTTACCAAATATGTCAGAATCACTGAATCACTAAATATTAACCCTCCACCTTTAAATGAATTGAAAAAATCCAAATCAGCAAATTCATTGAGTTGTAATTTAGGACCTAATGTTTTAGTGGTTGAAGATAATGCAGTTAATAGAACGATTTTAACTACATTTTTGAAAAAACGTGGGATTAGGTTTGATGAAGCTGAAAATGGAGCTATTGGAGTTGAAAAATTTAAAAAAGCATTAGAAGATGATGATGGAGAAAATCCTAATCGAAAAGGATTTGATATCGTATTAATGGGTAAATCCTTATTCTTTTTTTTTTTAGTAAACCTACGTACATGTGTATTTAATTAAAAGGAAATATATTTTAATATATATATGGTTTTTTTTTATTTGTAGACATACAAATGCCTGTAATGAACGTGTAGCAACAGCAGAAATACGTAAAATTGAAGATGAACAACAATCCGAAATTTTCATTATTATCGACAGCAATAACAACAAATTCAACACTCGCTAAATCTCCAGCTGCATCATCTACAATTACAAATTTTAAATTTCCCCCATCATCATTATTTAACAAAACTATTCCATCATCTCCAGTTTCAGAATCAAATAATCATTTAACCCATTTACTCAAAAGAATAGATTTTTACAAAGAAGAGTATCAAATCATGATCCATAGCAAACGATCAACAGCAGATAAATTTGAGATTGAACCAAACAACTTCGTAACTGGTTGAAAAATAAGGATCAGCTTATGATAGTAGCTCCTATGTTCGAAAACTTATTCAAGGTGCACGTCCAAAATACCAACAGCTTGAAACTGAATTAATAGAATAGTTTAGAGATTCATGAAGGCAATTGAAAACAATTTCGCGTTATATGATTCAGACAAAGCACGCTCTTTAGCCAAAAAAACCAGTATATCAAAAGTTTTCACGGAAATGGGTTGATAGTTTTATGTCCCGTCGTAATTTAGTCAATGACAAATTTAGTTTTAGAAAAGAAAATTTTATTAATCGATTGAAAAAGTCATCTTAATAGTTCGACCTAAAGTTTTAGTGGTTGAAGATAATGCAGTTAATAGAACGATTTTAACTACATTTTTGAAATAATGTGGGAGTTGAAAAATTTAAAAAAGCATTAGATGATGATGGAGAATATCGAAAAGGATTTGATATCGTATTAATGGGTAAATCTTTATTCTTTTTTTTTAGTAAACCTACGTATGTGTATTTAATTAAAAAGAAATATATTTTAATATATAAATTTTTTTATTTGTAGACGTGTAGCAAAAGCAGAAATACGTAAAATTGAAGATTAACAAAATCTGAAATTTTCATTATTATCGACAGCAATAACAACAAATACAACACTTGCTAAATCTCCAGCTGCATCACATACAATTACAAATTTTGAATTTCCTTCATCATCATTATTTAACAAAACTATTCCATCATCACCAGTTTCAGAATCAAACAATCATTTAAAACCATTTACTCAAAAGAATAGATTTTTACATAGAAGAGTATCAAATCCTGATCAATTCTCTTTTCAAAACAATTCATTTTCAATCACAAGTTTATTAAAACCTAAAATATCGATAAAAATACCTAAATCAAAATAAAATCCAAAACATCACCTTTACATCCCCATCACCAATACCTTCATCACCAATTTTTCCTATTATTGAAAATAATACTATTAATACTATTACTAAACATTCTCGTTCTTTAATATTTGCTTTAACTGGATTAGTTAGTGAAGAAGATAAAGATCTAAATTTTGAAAGTGGAGTTGATGGATTTTTAATAAACCTATTAGTTAAAAAATGTTGGAAAAAGTATTAAAAAAATGAACAATCTAGTGAAAATAGTAGTGTTTGAAGTAGTAATAGTAGTAATAGTAGTAGTGGAGGAAGTACATGATAATAACCAAACTAATTTATTATTTTTCATTCGTTTTTATTACATTTTATTTTTTAAAAAAAAAAAATTATTGAATTTTTTTTTTATTTATTTAGTTGTAGATATTTATAATTTTACAAGGAGTGGCGGATATTTTATTAAAGTAATTATTTAAAAAAATTATTACATAATTTAATTTTAAACCCCTTTTTCCTTTTAAATGTAAAATAAAATGTGTTGGGTTTATAGTGAGAGCGCTATATTATTACCGAAGATGCGATCGTGAAAGATATATAGTATATCATGTGGTTTGGATAGTGCTAATTATGACTCACCAATTCTAAAGGATTGTAAAGGTTGTAAATATAACATTAGTAGAAAGCTTAATGCAGGGAAATGCTTAGTGTATATAGAAAAAAATATAGCAACAATGATAAAAGGACGGAAAGTAGCACATGATGGAACGGAAGCTATGTTAAAACCATATATGACGTTAGAAAATATTGAAATACAAAATGAATTGTCGTTGGAAGAGAACATGAAAGAGATAAGAGAAATGGAAGCCGTGAATATGAAAATAGATAATAGTATAGAAGAAAATAGTTTGATGTGGTTGAATTATGTTATAAAAGATGGAGAGTTAAAGACGATCAAATGGGAGCGCAAAGGTCAGACCAAGAAGTCAAAATTCCAGCGATTAAAAAAAGAATTAATAAGTTGTAAATTAACAATAAAAGAAATCGGAATTAACATTAATAATTTGTTAGTGGATGAACATAGTCTAAAGTGGAATTATATTCATATAGAGGGAGCATTCAGGAGGTGCTTCAAAGAATTGAGTTATAATAGTGTAAAGATTGATTTAATGTTGGATTATGTCAAAGACTATTTTATAGAGTCTAACGGACTAACGGATGCAATATTACAATAGATTGGGACGCATTATTTAAATTGATCAACAATGAGGAGACGACGTCTAGAAATGTAACAAAGAAGATGTTACGAAAATTTTTTTGCGGATTTTGCCTACATATGAAGAAGCTACAACGAATATGGAATATAATAAAAAAAATAGATGATGATTAAAAATATTATTAGAAAATAGTAAAGATGACGTATTTAGATTAGATAAAAGTGATAAAAGGTTAGTAATTTTAGTACATAGTTTTAGTTAATACACATTATTTAGTTTAATAGTTGCTACTTCGTTCTATTATACGAAGATTTTGGTATGAAGAGATAGTGAGTGAGTTTATTTTTAAAAGTAGGGTCAAATTAACAATCATGTTGGTAGTAAGCCAAAATGGTCAGTCAGTCAAAGGCCTTTGATTTAGCGGAACTTTGTTTCCATTAAATTTCAATGTATTTTTCTGTATTCAATATGTAATATGTTTTCCTACAATTACTAATAATAAATTAAAATACGTTTATCAATTTAAAAAAAAAAAAAAATCATGTGGTTTGGATTCAGAATTATGATAATTCTGCAACAACAATTCATTCATATTAACGATCAGCTTTCGCTCCTTATCAACAATTTCATTTTTACACGGATGGTTCCGTCAAGCAACTAGGTACTGAATTTTGCAGAAGTGGTTACGGTTGGATACAAATAGCAAACTCCGCTCCCCAAGTCACGTTCTCGGGGTCAACTTTGTTCTTCCCTTCATGCACTCATTACCCTTCCTTACAAGAGAAGAGCACTTGCATCATCTCAACAGATTCGGCAAATTGCATAGATACTTTTCAACAACGAATGAATTCTCCTACCATAAGTCCAAGGCGTAAATTGAAACAAAATAATTTTCTGATTTGGAACCTAATTTTTTAGTTAATTCACCATCGAGAACTCAACGACAAATTTAACGATCGCGCCGATCAACGTCACAAATATAGATGACCCTTTTATAGTCAATCATAAGTTCTTTGCCAACACTTCACTTGGATTTATAAGTTGGAACAATTTGTATATAGTGGACAGAAATATAAGAAAATGTAATGATAACCCTATTCAAACATTCAAACACGAATTTTTAACACTTGTCAATAACTCATCGCTAACACCGACATCACGCATGGTACCATCGACTGGCGTTACACTTGTTTATGGATTTTAAATAACCCAACTGACTTGCCCACCAGTTCCAAATTGTCACGCACGCAAGGCTCCAAAATTAAAAAATCAAACTTTATTTATCCTACATACCAACACTCATATAGGCCTCTGCGACAAACACTTTGACGACATCAACAAAATCCTTAAAAAAACACAAGATCGCTTTAGCTGTGCTACTGACGACTTGCATGGACTCAGCTACCTTCGATATCTATGAACGAGTCAATAAGTCCCCAGTCTTCCGCCTGCTATTTAACCTCGGCGAAGGATACACTACCTCTATCCCGTTATCACATCCGGGTCTTTTACTGTTGTATCACCTAATTCCTGCGGACTTCATTCAGGAACTTGGCAATCTCATAGAGATACTCTTCTCTTTAATTGTATAGATGATCTGTCTACTTTCGTGACATACCTTATATTAATAGATTAATTCGCCCTATTTAGTTTCCTTTTTTTTTATTTTTTCCCCTTAGCCTTTTATACTCTCGTGTTTTATTTTCCGACACCAGGGTGGCGCTGTCGTTTTGGCGGGTTTGTTTACGGTTTGATTTGAATTACTTTTGACTTACGTATAGTTTGTTCTTGTAATTTGTAGCGTGAACGCGTTAAAAATAAATTCATATTAATGATCACCATATATTTCCACGCATAAAATTTAAGATAAAATATACTTTAAAATTTATTTAATAAAAACGTGTTCAGTTTACGCTACTAATAATAATAATATAAAGAGAAAAACAGATAAAAATAAAAAAACAAATTATTCAAATTACAAACTAAGAATCTTGAAGAAAATCTCATCAGGTCATAGTTAAATAATTTATATTAAGAAAAAAAAATCAAGTATAGTAAACAATCTAATTTATATAATTCATCCGCATAAAATAAAAAAAAAATATTACCCGTATAGCACTGCCTAAGAGACCCCCCTATCCGCGTACCCCCACTATAATATACCCGCCGGGTATGATATGTAGTTAAAAAATCTTAATTCTGGTAAGAATTCGGCTAATTCTGGCCAATTTTTCCATATTCCATACAAGATACCCCCGGGTATAATTCAATTTTTAAGTTGGTGAAATTGATATATACCCGGGGTATTTTAGGCAGTGCTATACGGTACGTTAAATTTAGGGTAAATTTTAAATATTTTAAAAATAATCCTTACTGTCAGAAGGTTAGGATTGTTATGAACTTCATCTTTTTCTATCAAATATAAAATTAAAAATCATAAAATAATTATTTTAAGAATTTAAATAATTGTTTTATCATTATACCATTATCAACAATATGAAGTTTCTTTATTTGCTGTTGCATTGTTTTAATCTTATAATCATTTTGAATTATTGGCGGGTACAACCCTATATTCTGATAATAAGGGTAAAACTAAAGATAGTTTTATTTTTTCTTTTAAAATAAAAATACTATACAATTTTTAGTAACATACGAGATACAGCCATGTTCTGGCAGAGATCTAATCATGTATTTTTCTAATGAATCTACAACTGAAACTATAATACGGTTTACTATAGAAAGAATTATTATTAAAAAGGATAATATAGAAGATTATGAAGTATTTCAGATTATAAAAAGATGAGTACGGTATTTTATGTTAGATAATAAGATGAATGAGCAAATTATTGAATTGTTTTTAATTTGGCGCATCACCTTTTCATGAATAAATTTTACTATAATAATGTTATAAAATTGCGAAAAATAATTTCTTTAATTTCGTAAGTTTATTTTATTTAAAAAAAATTAAAGTATACTGAGACTTCTGTAGGTTATATAACCGTTACATTTCTCCAAACTTGCTCAACTATGAAAAAATTCTTATCATTAAGCCGATGTTTCACAAATTTCGTACAATTATTATCAATTCTTGTAGATATTAATTGCTAAAAAACTAACAAAAGAAATGGAAGAGATTTTTCTAAAAGGTGGATCTAATATAGCTTTATCAAAAAATGAACGAAAGTATTTTTTTAGGATGTTTGACGCGAAATTAGATGCAACAAAGATAAAAAGAAGATATGAGTGGCAAGCATATAAAAAAATAGACGGATCAAGAAAAATGATTCAGAGAGATCTACGGTGGACATTTTGCCAAAATTATCAAAATTATCAAAATTAAATTTATTTTGATGTATTTCAACAATGAAAAAGATTTACTACAGGCAATCTATAGGTCCACTATGAACGAAGATATGGGAAAAAGCTTGCAAATGAAAGGTCAAGACGAATTGATTGGAAAAGATGGAGTATATAAAAAGAGAACAGGAATCAATAAATTTAAGGTACCTGCACAAACAACATCTAAGGGTGAAAAGTTTGTAAATGCCCAAACTTGTCCTCTTTCGACGATACCCAGAAGTAAAGAAGAACATGAAGAGCTCGATGATTTAAACAACAAGTTTAGTGAACGATTAGATAAAATGGAGAAAGTCGATTTACAAGAAGAAAGGAAGAATAAGGAAAAGGAAGATGGAGACAATGAAAACAAAAAACGCATAGTGACAACGCAAGACGAAGAGAAGATTCCGATAGCGAATAAACAAATTTGTCACTTTTTAATTAAACAAATTTAGGATTGCTTTCTTGGGATTTGCGCTTGGATTTGGATGAAAAAGACACGTGGACAAAAAACGATTTTGCCCGATTTTTGGATACAATTCCGTCAAGAGTGTAGATTCTAGGATTTCTTTCTTAATGTTTTTAATTTAATTTAATTTTATTTTTTTTTTATTATTTTGTTTTCTTTTCTTTTATGTTTTTTGTTGAGATATTAGGATTTTTAGTGCCAATATAGATTTATTTGTTTTAGCGTTTAGAAAAATTTAGGAAATCTAGTAAACATAAGAAAATATCAAAAAAAAATCAAAAAAATATATAAAATATCTTAGATTAGTAGCGTCTTTACACAATAGATAGATTTTTAAAACCAACAATTTTTGGTTTTTTTTTAAATTTATCGTAGTAATTTTTTTTAGAATAATTAGGTTAGTTATAGAGGGCATTATAATTTATTTATATCGCTTTCTAGGTGCTTGTATAATTATGTATTCATTTATGAGCTAGACATAATTAATAAACGCGTTACTAATTTTTTTTTTTAAAAAAAAAAAACTACAACTAGAATCAAACAAGGTCCCGACCAAAAACAAAAACAATGCAAAGTATCTAGGTCTTCTTTTTGATGATCGATTCAATGTGAAACTTGAATATGCTATACTGTATCTCTTGACAGAATTACGACCACTGTTAGAAGATTAGTTTACTCTTAATTTTCGAAAAATTCGCGCACCGATTTTCAATATTTAATAGTAATAAAATTTTGTAAAAAAGTAATATACATTATTTAATACTATGTTTTAATATTATTAAATAAATTTTGTTAATATCCTTTTCTAGTTTCTAGCATACTTATCTTAAGTATAAATAATATCTTATACAAAGGAATAAAACGGAATAAATCGCGTACAGTAAATGATTAATGAATAGAAATATACCAAAAATTATGTAAATATAAGTTCTTTTTTTTTTTTAATCAGAAATCAAGGCAACTTATTTTTAAATTAATTCAATTTTGTAAATTAATTCAATATTTTTTTAAAATTTAAAATTTAATCATTTATTTATATTCAAATTCTGTTAATTTATGTCCTAAAAGAATAAATTATATTAGGATACTAATTTGGAAGTTAATATTATGACCTGATTTTCTAAAAATAAAAATTAATAAAAATAAACAAATAAAATTGCTGAAGAAAGCTTAATAATTTAGTATTCAGTATTTAGTATTTATTAGAGTTTATGCTCTAAATATAGATAAATAAAATCTTATATATTGCATGAAATCAGTTAAACTTATCCAAAAACATGTTTAGGAAGCAAGCCCACTAGTGAATCCAGAAAGAGAAAATTAATATTGAGGCAAAAAAAATCTTCTTTAGAAACTTATTATATAATATATCCTTCATTTAAAAAATGACTTCTAATAATTAATGAAAACATAAATATCTTTATTGAAGATGTACCCAATTCATTATTAAGGAACTATTATAATATATGATCTTATTCCATCTCTTGTACTTACATCTGGTGGATTAGTTTCAGGAAATAAGTTAATTTTAAAATCATATCATTTATGCGTTAGTAAGATGGAATCATTAACGATGTTTTTTATTTTATTAACGTTGAAAAGAATAATGAATAGTATATACCTTATATACCTTACATTAACAAAAGATTATAAAAAGTTGTTATATAATGAGAACAGTAAACCACTTTTAAAGATTTATTACTCTTCTCTATTAATTATAGCCATTATGATATTTCAAAAAGTATACAAAGAATCCAATACACCACTCATATATATATTTTCATATTATATTTTATTAGTAAAAAAGGAGTTTATAGTAATCTTTATAAAATAATTATATTTATCCTTATTTGGTTTGGGCATCTTTTTTTCTTGTAAAAGTGAGGGAGATTTCAATGCTAATTACCAAATTTTATTTTAAAATATCACACCCTTATAAAATCTCATTCATAAATACCATTTAGTTAGTAAATTTTACTTCAAATTTTTTTACAACTTAAATAAATATGTTCGCAAATTAATATAAAATCTAATGACGAATAAGACATTGTACTGTATATAAAGAATGGATGTACGATCTGATAGTGGCAGATAAAATTATATAGAATCACACTTCTGAAAAAAGAAGTCAAACGTCCTTCATTAATTCCATCCATGATAAAAATCTGAAATTTGAGCTAGGTAATGCGAAACCAGACCCATCTTGCCATACCTGTTTTTATTATGGGCATGGGTTCAGGATTTGCCCAAATATACCACCTGAATATAGAGTCACTGGCCTTTTTATCAAAAATCTGGGCAATCTTTTGCTTTGGGACCAAGATGAACTCCTCCTAATGGGCAAACTAAGAAACATATCCACATTATTGTGAAGTTGATTTATAAAAGAATGAGAATTTTATTTTTTTAGAAATCTGTATAAATAGAAATATATCAAAAAGTTTATATGGAAATCTTCCTTATATAGCACCAGAAGTTATTAATGGAAGAGAATATAATTTTAAATCTGATATTTATAGTATTGCAATGCTAATGTGGGAAATTACCATTTATTAATCATGGACATGATTATAATCTTGCAATAAATATTATTAATGGTATTAGACCAAAAATTGTGTTAGGAATAAAGTTGCTTGTCGAAATTAATGAATTTCGTCATGTCGAAATTGTCGAAATTATTTTTACTATTCGACAATGGCCTATTTATTTTCGGCAAGCAACTTCAGTTGGGAACTCCTGCTGTAGAATATAAAAATTTAATGAAAGAATGTTGAGATGCTGATCCATCAAAAAGACCAGATACTTATACACTTTGGAAAAAGATACAAGAAATGAATTTATATTATCAAAGTATGACGGATGAATCATTTCAATCAGAAATATATAGTAATTCAGCAAGAATTTTTTATTTGAAATTATCAAAATTATTTTAAATGGTTGTAATAATGATAAAACGCATACAATATATATATATAATATATTATTCATTTGAGGGGGTTGGTGTGCGGTAATATAGTAATATTTCATTTCCAAATTAAAAAAAATTGGTTCGTTACAGTAAATCACACGACTTGCTGATAAAATTATATCGTGTATTTACTAAAATAAAATTATAATAAACAAATAATAAAAAGAATTATTTTTTATTTAAATAAAAAAAAAAAATTTATTTCGATTACATTGCAGCACTTGCCCGATCCAAACCTAAAAGGCAAAAGTACAAAAAAAAAAAAAATTAGGAAAAAAAAAANTATTAAAAAAAAAAATCAGAAAAACAAGGTCCTTACGTAACACCGCAGTGTCGATAATCGAAGGTGAAAGAACGATCGAAAAAAACCAATTAGAAAAAAAATATTACTATAAGGAAAGAAAATTAAAAGCAAAAAAAAAAATATTAAAAAAAAATTGGTTTAAAAAAACTGAAAAAAAACGAAAAAAAAATTTCAGTTTTAAAAAAAACCAAAATAAAAAAAAAGATTTATAAAAAAATCCGCAGACATATCACACGTTTTCATGTTACATTTTAAGAAAATAAATTTTAATTTAAAAACAATAAAAAAAAAAAAAAGTTTTCAATAGCTGATAGGTCAAATTACAAAAAATTCTCCGACTTGCGGAAAATTTTCTCTCATTTCTGCCATTCTGCGCATGAAATGCACAGAAAAACAGGTCCATTAATATTTTGACGTAATTTAAAACTAACACATTTTTGACATCAAATGATATACATCATATGCATGCATATATTAACATATGAAAAAATGTTATCAACCAATAATCAAATTATTGAAATTATTGTCATTTTTTTCGGAGTACTATACATACAGATTATTATTGGTTAAGCATTCTATTTGCTATTTGTGATGAACGGAATTTCCTTGTTTATGAATCATTATTAAAAATTTCCGCTTATAGGAATAGTTAATACTATTTGTAATCCGCCGCAGTTTCGGATAAATAGCGCGGAGATATGATTAACTTTATTTATCTGTCTAATTTACTAATCTATTACTTAATAGTAAAATTATATTATTTCTATACTACAGTAAATTCTTCATTATCTATACTAAGACTAACCATATTTCTTTTATTTGAATTATTATCAAAATCTTCCAACTTTATATTTTCGATTGTGACAGAATTTTTATGTAAATTTTTTACCAGGGAATTAAAATACTTGGCCCTTGCAGCTTTTCCGGCAATCGTCTTAACAATTTCCTTATCGTAAGTTATCATATAAGAGAAAATAATATTATTAAGAGTTTGGAAAATTCTGATTGTTAGAACACTACCATATTTTAACCAAGTAATTATTTCTACTACCGCTAAAATATTAAATGTTAAGGTTGATCCTAATTGTAAATAACTCCAGTAATTTACAGCATTAAACATATTATTCTTTGGTGATCTTTCGGTCATTTGATTTGATTCCGCTGCATTTTGAATTCTTTTTTTTAAAACTTGGATCAATCTAATCGTTACGAAAATATCAATAATTAAATCAATACCGATGTACCCCCATCTTACGATTTTTGCTCTATCTTCGAATTTGCATATATTCCCAACATGGAGACGGAATAATGCAATATGTACAATCTATTTGAAAAATATGAACGAATCAATTAATTAAAATTTTAACATTAATATCATAATATATAATAAAAATAATTACTTGGAGTAAAGTCCTAATCGTAAGAAATGAAATACAAAGGATTTTATCAAAATTTGATTTTGAGACGCCAATTAACCTCCTTAATAAAAAGAAAATAATTGATTGTCTATATAAAAAATCCACAGTTTCGTTGACGTAACTTACTCTTTCACAAGATAACTCGTATGCCAAAAAGACAGAGAGGATCGACCCGGCCGCTCCACTTAAATTTATTGTTATTTTAAATAATGAAAAGTTGGATATACCATGTTGGCAATTAAATATAGAAATAAAGAAGTTATGCAAGTAAACCTAATGTTTAAAGACAAAATTATATTAATTTTTAATAAGAAATTATTGAATTAAGATAAATAAGTAGTAATACTAACGATGAAAGAGCAACCAAATAAAAATGAAAAAATGAGAGAATCCATTTCTTTTAACATCGAATGAGAAAGTTAGAGTTTAAGTTTAAAATATTTTTCTTGAAATCATTCACTATATATATATAATTTTATGATATTAAAACTTTTGAATAGGTTGATTTCGATTTAATTTAGAAATTTGTTATAAAATTTGTAAATTTCCGCTTAACAGTTAACCAATAACAAATGTTTTAGGTTGTTACTAAAAAATTGGTTATATGTAACACAATTTTTTTAGTATATATACTGTATATAAATAAACAGGTTTGATTCGAGAACTGAGCGCGTGATCCAAAAAAATTTTTTCGGAATCAACTCCATGAAGAATCAATATATGATAATATATAAAAACAGTTTTATTTATTTATTTATTTAAAAAAAATAAAATTATAAATTTGGTTATTAGTTATTAATTTAATTTTTGTCTTTATGGAATACTGCCGCTCAAATTATAAAATCGGATTTAAGGTTTCACGGGTATTATGGTTTTTATTCTTTTAAATGCCCCTTAAAAATGCAGGGCTTTCTTCTTATAGATGTGATAAACCTTAACTGTTAAATAAATTATAAATAATTGGTTTAGTTGATAATCGATCAACAGAATTGCGGCGCAGCAACTTTCTTTGCGATTACCCTTCAAAAATGTCACGAAAATTCACGTGACTGTTTTTTTGTCACATCCGTCACACCCTTCCTTGTTTCCATTTTTCATAAGTATCTGAGGGACTTTGTTTTTTTCGAGTAAGTAAAAACGTATTCGTCACACCCTTATTCGTCACTGTTTATTTTCACGTGTTAGTGCATAACGCCGTAATGCCGGCCGTTTCGTGACATTTTTGAAGGGTACGCAGGGGTAGTCCTTTCTTTGCTTACAACTTAATAAATTAATATTACAATAACTATTGTACGATGTCCCTACAAGACCAATAACGAGCATCTCATTGATTTGGTTTGTATATAATGTACTGTAATATCAATTTTAAAATACATTTAAAAAATTTTAACATGTATATTTAATATAAATTGTAGCAAATTATTGTATAATTTAATTATAAAATAAATTGTATAAAATTACATTTGTAACTTTAATTATAAAATACATTTCCTCTATCCTCATTTAAATACTCCTCTCTTTCCTTTCAACCAAGTTTCTTCTCTCTTTTTTTTTCTTCGTGCAGTCACTTTGCATCCCATAAGCGTTCATTTCTCCACCATTCTCCGTCTTTTTTTGATATAGTCGCCAATACTATTAAAGAAAAACTTTAACTAGAAAAAAGAATGAAGCATTAGTAACTATTCGTTAATATAAACTAAAGATAAATCTGAAAACCAACACGTTCAAAGAGATCCAGAGAAACCTGAAGAGCTGGCTACCTAAAAAAAGAAATAATCCAATGAAAGTCTTCCTCAAGGATCGAAACTAAATTCTACGCGTCTATACACGGCTAGAAAAGCAAAACGAAATGTTAGTAAGAATTTCGCTAGAAAAGTAATTCAAAGAAAAGAAAATCTATCGAATTCCCATGCAACAAATACCTGAAGAACAATCCGTCTAAAAAAGAGAGAAACAATCAAGGAAAAATTTAAAATGCGAGTAGTAATCCCACTAAATTAATGCGAATTTACGCGTCAAAAAAAAAAAAGAAAATTTTCCGAATTTCCACATCTAAGATCCGACTAAAAATGAAAAAGACGAAATGTTAGATTAGTTAAAATTAATAAAATTAAAAATAAACATGAACATCTTCCGATTTCTTACCAAGAAAAATCTCCAAATTCACTCGTCCATACTCGCCTAAAAAAAGGAAAAGAACGAAATGTTAGAAATATTTCGTTAACGTTAAATAAAAAGATTAAAAAACATTCATTTTCCCACCGTCTAAAAAAAGAAATTTTCTGAATTTTACCAAAATCCATACATCCAAGCCTATAAAAAAAAGAATAAAATTTGGAATGTCAAAATACGTTTCGTTAGAATAAATAAACTAAAACAGAGAAAAAACTTACCAAAAATGAAATTCTGCGTTTCGTTAAAGAAAGAATCCCCTACCGAAATTCTGCGCGTCCAAGGACTTGAGTGCTTATAAAAAAAGAGAGAAAATCGAAACTTTAGCAAGACGTTTCGCTAAAAGAATAAATTAATAAAAATATATATTTCGGAATCCCTTACCGACTGGAAAATCGAAACGTTAGTAAAACGTTTCATTCATTAAAAATATAAATTAAAAAAAAAAATTCAGTTAAATCAAATAAATAATAGTTCTTTTCTTATTCATATATATTAAATATATTTGGGCTAACCAGACCAGTTGTTTTCAAAGATTCAGGCAATTTGCTGTATTTCGTTTACCTAGTATAAAGAACTCAACGTGTCCAAAGACCCAGTCGCCCTAAAAAAAAGAGAATATTGAAAGGTTAATAAAATGTTTCATAAATTCAAAGAAAAGTTCCGATAAAGAGACGGACACACTTCCATTTCCAAAGAGAATTGGCAAACCCTAAAAGAAGAAAAAACGAACTACTAATAAAGTTCGTTAAATAATAAAATAAAAGAAAAAACAAAAAACTATCATACCAGAATCCCATATCCAAAGAGATAAAAGAAAGTAAACGAACTGTTAGAAACTGTTCGTTAAAACAGAATTAAAAAAAAAAATTGAATAACAAAATTCCTACCTTATTTCCACGCGTCAAAATAGCCGAAGAATCAAGTCGTCTAAAAAAAGAAGAGAAACAACTATTAGAAATCGTTCGTTAAAATAAAACAATTAAAGAAAAAAGACAAACTTACCGAGAGATAACTAAGATTTTTTTCAACAAAAAGTGCGAGAGAAGCGGGAAAAGAGAAAGAAAAGAAAAGGGAAATGTAAAAGTAAAGGGAAAGGGGAAGGAAAGGAAGAGGAAAGAACGAGGGAGAGACGAAGGTACGAAGGGGAGGGCGGAAGAATGAAAAAAAAAGTTTAAAATAGTTGATCGAACATTCGGGCTGCGGATTATATCACGTGATACACGTGATACATAATATAAATAGGGGCTTTCCCCGAAATTTTTTCATTTATGTTATTGATCAAAATATACGAAAATGGAGTAACATTCCTATCCAAGCACACGTATTCAATTCTTTGGTCAACAATTCGGCCTCAAACGGTAGAACGAAATATACTAGAGGGAGACAGACTGGAATTACATCAAATTATGGTTCAACCATAATCCTTATGACGTACCCACAAACGAAAAATTATCTCGCGCTCAAGGTACTCGCATTAAGAAATTGAGTTTCATTTACCCACAGTTCAATAAGCCAAGATTTTTTTTTAAAGATCGTTTCATACTCTACGGCGGATGTTTTCCAACGCACGCAATTGTCCTACGCAATTATCCTAAACTTTATCCCAGCGGTCCTATTATGTGTGACTGTAGCACCACTCACTTTAATAAATCAATTCCACTTTACAGAAATTCAAACCCATCCTACTTAACATTATCAACAAACACGCTACCGGTTTAATCTTTGACTTACAACATAAGATCGAAACTTCAAGAACATTCAACCTTGCAAATACTAATGCTCTATCTATTGGTCACCCATGCTACTTACTCATACACCAATTATGCCTGCCGATCTTACGACCTTATTTTACAACTACACCGGCAAACAAAAAGCCCGTGACACGGCCTTCAAAGAATTTATTATCCCGTTCATGCAAGAACTAAACTCCGTTATTTGGACGGAACGTGCTAGCAACTTTAAACAATGGGAAACAACACAAGGAATCACAAAGAAAAAAAAGAAGCGCTACCACCAATTTTTTAAACATGATCGTAAAGAAACCTCCAGAATCAACATCGCGAACCAAACCAATCTCCAATCTCGTCGTAACCATCCTCTTTCTATCCCGTACGATAGATCAGATGGACGCTTGGCTTAAATGCCCACATCGATGGACGTCTAGTAATTTTTTACAGAGTTTAATAGTTTTTTTTATGATTTGTTTTTATTTACTTATAATCCTACCAATATAGCTAAAGATTGTTCAATTTCTCAGTTCCTTTTTCTTTTACCTCGGCTGTGTTTTTATAGCATCCCTGCGGCTTGGTTATCAGTTTTTTTTGGTTACTCTCGATTCTAGTATTTAGTTTCTTTGTAACTTTTGGTGTAACTTCGTTCAATTTGAGAAATGAAAATAAAAAATAAAAAATAAAATATTTTTTTTTATATTTTAATGATATGTATATATGTGCTCATAAAGTCTTGATATATCGGAATTGGAGTCTGGAACGGGATTATCATAATTTATAATTAATTTGCCCGGATATCTCGATATAACGGATTTTTGACAAATTTTACTAATGGAACGGATGATTCCACTATATCGAATTTCTTAAGACCCAAGTATAATTCAATTTTTTTCATGGGTATTTTGTATAAAACCCGACATTTTATTTTGTGTCACAAATTTCATATGATCCACAATAAACAAACGATCAATCGATATAATAGTATAATCTAATATTTAGCATTTATTATTATTAGTCTTGTAACATATTTACTATAACAAAATTATGAATACAAAATACAAATAAAATTTGCCATAAATGTGATTTTGATATACTGGAATTACTAATTCCAATTTTGAAACACATTACGTTCTTCATTTTTTGTTATAATAGTCATCATCTGATTCACATCACTATCATCTGATCTATTATCACCTGGTTCATAATCATTATCGCTACTTTCTTCATGACTTTCATCATCTGCTTCAATTCCTCTCTCTTTATTATTTATTTTTTGTACTCTATTAAAATTAAATCATATTCCGTCCATTCATCGCATTTGAAACACCACAATATTTAAATGAACGCATAATCAATTGCATCTCAACTTTCTTTTACCCAATTTGCTACAAGTGAGTATGATGGTCTTTTAATTTTTCCAGATGGGGTATATTCTTTAATAGCTTCATTATTCATCCAGTAATCATAAAGATGTCGCATCTAATTTTATTAAAATAATATTAATTTTATATTATATAGCAGAAAAAATTTGATGAATGAAATTTACCTTAGCTTTAAAAGGTTATTTAATGATACATCAAGTAACGAGAAGTTAATCCACCTGGAATAACAGCCAAATCAGTATTTTTTCTATGAAATCGACGTTTTATAGCATCAGTTTTGTGAAGAATTTAACACTAAAAGAGATCTTGAGTTGCTTCCTTGTTTTGCACGTTGTGTCTAAGTATTTTCTATCCACCAAGTCATCTCGTCTTCATTCATTCAACCATTGGGATTAGCACGAACAATTACTCCATCAGGAAAATCCTCTCGCGGAACATTTACAAAGTTTGAAGTTTGAAAATAATTACTTGCGGCAATTTTTCACCATTAGCCATACAAGCTAAACAACAGTAAAATTTGCGTTCATGCCAGTAGATAAAATAGCAACAGATTTTGTACCACGATGTTCAACTGTTGTGTTGCTTGGTAAATTAAATGCTATAGGTGTTTAATCCATATTTGCAATTAAAGATAATGGATATTGATGCTCTCTTCTACGAAAAAAAGGACGTAAGATAAAAATTGATTTGTTGCCCAATATAATCATCTGGAAGTCGCTGAGCAATTGTTATTTTTCTTCTACTGACTAAATTATGACGGGGCATAAAACCATTAACCCATTTCTGTGAAAACTTTTGATATACCGGTTTTTTTTGCTAAAGAGCGTGCTTTTGCCTGAATCATATAACGCGAAATTGTTTTCAATTGCCTTCATGAATCTCTAAACCATTCTATTAATTCAGTTTCGAGCTGTTGGTATTTTGGACGTGCACCTTGAACAAGTTTTCGAACATAGGGAGCTACTATCATAAGTTGATCCTTATTTTTCAACCAGTTACGAAGTTGTTTTGGTTCAATCTCAAATTTATCTGCTGTTGATCGTTTGCTATGACCTTGCTCATAATATGCGATTACTATCAACTTCTCTCTTGCTGACCATTGACGTCTCTTTTTCTGTGAAATTTTGGCACGGCGAGCTCTAAAATTTCCACGAACCATAGTGTTTAATAAATTTTTAATTAATAAAGTCTTTAAATATATATAGACTTTAAAAAATATTTATCAATTAATATCTTGAAAGTTTATTTGAAACAAATTATCTGTAAAAATTTATTAGAAAAAAGATACGATAAAGAAATAATTGCAAGACGCGAAAAATAAGTTGCTATAAATTCTAATATTCCATTTTCCCATGATTGGTAAAATAATCTTCATTCTTCAAGTGAATAAAATCCTCTAAAAGCATTTTCTAATTTTATTAGTTGTAATTGATGAATGTGTTGTTTGGTAATAAAAGATAATTTCCAGAGACCCACTTATCAAATATACTGTTTAAAATATGATGTATTATTACAATTTTCCCAGACATATAAAATTGCAACCTCTAGGTATAATATCCAGGGGAAAATTGCCTAGCTTAGACGATACAATCATCCCGGGAAATTTTTCTTAATAAAATAAAAGTCGTAGAATGTGATCATTTTCATAAAAAATAAACGTGCAGGTATACAAGAGTTGTAGAAAGTTTCGTTCCAATATAAGATATATAATAAAATTGTGTCGTACGAATAAAGTGTAATTTGTAAATACTACTGACGCAGAGGAATCTTGTACAATAATCCATTAAATATCAATTAAAATTTAACTTACTTGTAAATACTCAACGAAGCCTCAAATTATAAATATTCATCATTTGTCTACTTTATTATTTGTTTCATCATACTTTCGTCCAATTTAATAATAAATCTTAATAATGGGATTAATAATGGGATTTGTGATAACATATATAAAAGCTCTATATTTTACAACTAGTAATAATAATGAAACATATTCTAGCAAGGAGGCTGGCTGACTTAAAGATTATTCAGTCAATGTAACTTCACGTCATTATCTTTCGTGACAGCTAAAAAAGTGATTTCTTCCGCGGATATACTCTTTATTCTCTCTGGTCTAAAGATGGATAAAACATAATTCTACAGTACATAGCCTTTGCGAATGCTCCATCAGATTTTTGCCCACTGTCTTGTAGCTCATTATCAAATAGAAACACTTTTTCTTTAAAATTATTTCATTGCATTGGGTTGAAACCACACTATCGGTAAGTTGACTATTTCATTCTCTTGTCATGTTGATAATTGATACGAACGGGTTGGAAAAAAAAGTTTAAAATGAATTTTCTTTCCATTTTGATCAATAAAAAATATGTGATATAAATAGAGATAACGTCAAATAGTTAAAAGATATATATTACTGGAACTTGTGAATGTAGAAGTTGTCGGTACATTATAGCAAAAAGAAATCAGAGAACTATTTTGCGTAAAAGAAATTCATTAAAGGTTAGAAAAATGCTACATATAAAAAATTTCTTTAAAAAAACCTATTCCATGTTGTGAAAGCATAATCATGTGGTTATGGTCATGATAATCGGCAAATCTCATTACCCAATATGATAGATAGCGTAGCCATGTACTTTCGTTCTTCACGTTGTTTTGAAATTTCCATAATGGACATACCTTTCACCTTTAAAATAACTACAAAGCCTAGTAAATAAAAGAAATTTTATGTTAATTTTTTTAAATACTATAATTTCGTAGTTAGCGCTTTTGTTCAAATCAAAATCAGCAGGTGCGAAAAACTTTGGATTAACTCCAGAATCAAAAGAAATACCTCAAAAGTAAATAAAGAATTTTACTTGGTAAAGCCTTTATGATTTCGTCACGAGGATCATGTTGCATTATAGCCTTCGTATGTTAAGGTCAGAAAGATGTAACTTATTCTAATGAGGATCAGCTGTTAAAAGTTCGTTAGAACTAGATAGAACTGGTTAGAACTGATTAAATTTCTCCCAAGACTCAAAAATCAAAAGCCTCTAAATCTAAAGCTTAAGAAACTTTCCGATACAATTACTTCAGTCGTTTCACCTGCCTCATCTAAACCGCGCAATTATTGGCAGAACATATCGCAAAGATCTCGGAGATTAAGTGGCAATCAAAATCTCTTGAAAGATTTAGATAGTAGTTCAAATTTAATGGCTTCATTGTTAACTACCGGAATTAGTAAAACATCATTATACAAATACAAGGGTACAACTGAAGGTGATTGAGTTTAATGCTAGTTGGTACTCAGAACGAAAAATTTTGTCCTTTAACAAAATATCACTACCTACAAAGCTTCGAGTACAAATGAGACTACAAAAAAAACACATCTTAAGGGATTAAATCGATGATATACTTGCTGGTGATCATGGTATCGCTAAACTAATTCAATTGACCAAGAAAATAAGTAACCGTCGTTTGCATCTGTAATGACATCAACGTTCAAAAACTCAAACGTTGGGCTCTATTGCCGTAAGGTGAAGTTCAGGATACCTCAAATGAACAAGTCAGATCAAGAATTATAAGAAAGAATTTACAAATTCAATTTAACAAATATGAAACGATCTCATAGGGAAGCTAATTGTGAATTAATCGTCTTAAATTTGTTGCCAAAGTTATTTTTGAAAAATTTGCAACTATAGGATCTTTTGTAAAGCTGCTGATGCAATATCTTACTGAAATATAGTTGACAAGAATTTCTTTCTATTGTGCCTGCATGGTTATAGTAAAGGAGGTGTAATATCTTAATGAAGATCAAGAGTGTTTTGCGTGTAACGAGGAAAATAATTTGATGTATTTTTTTCTTTCTTATCTTGTGTAGTTAGGGAATATGTGAAAATATGTGTTGATAGGTAGCGTATAATAGAGTGTGTGAAGGAATGTCAAATTTTCTATGAAGTGTTTAGTGTAGGACGAGTATTATTATTTGATGTGTTTGTAGTTAAAAGAGATTGGAGGGTTTACGAGTTGATGGGTAGCATATAATAGAGTATGTTCTATTTATTCCCTGATTATATAATGTGGAAAGAACGAGATCGGTAGTGTTTGATGTGTAACATCGATTATTATTCGATGTATTTTTTCTTTTTTTTGTCTTCTATAGTTAGGGAAGATGAAAAAATACTGTATATGAGTTGATGGATAGTATATAGTAGGATCGTTCTGTTTATTTTTTTTGTCTTGTAGGGAACGTTAAATTCCTTATTGATGAAATTGAGATCAAAAATGTTTGATGTGCAACAAGAATTATTATTTGATGTATTTGTAGTTAAGGAGCTGTAGTATTAGTGCTGGAAATTCTTATGAAGTTGAGATCAAGTTTTCTGACGTGTGACGAAGAATATTATTTGATGTATTTTTTCCTTTTATCTTGTGTTATTAAAGTAGATGGAAAAATATGAGTTGATGGATATTGTATATATGGATAAATATATAATAAGATGTGATCTATTTATTTCTTTGACGGAGGGACGTTAAATTCTTTATTGACGAAGTTGAAATCAAGAGTGTTTGGTGTGCGACGAGGACTATTATTTGATGTATTTGCCGTTGAAGGAGATGGCGAAGGTGTATAAGTTGGTGAAGGTGTATGAGTTGGTGGATAGCGTATAATTGAGGTATGTCATGTATGTAGTTTTTATGTCTTAGCTTGGAACGCTATTTTTTATGAAGTCGAGATCAAGTGTTTGTGGAACGAAAATTACAGTATTATTTGGTGTATGTTGTTCTTTTTTACTATTAAATTTCTTATTGATGAAGTTGAGATCAAGAGTGTTTAGTGTGTAATGAGAATTATTGTGATATTTTTTTTTTGTCGTAGATAAAGAAAATACTTAGATTGATGGTAAATGATTAGGGTGAGACGTCGCCTAATTAATCAAAACTATGTCAGCAACATTGATTATTTTACTATAATCAGATTTTATACTATGCAAAACTATAAAATTTATTAAATAAACAAATAAAACTCAAGACTCTAAAAATTTCTTGCAAATATTGTGTACATTTTTCAACTTTCTTTTGGTTGAAAACTGTTCTTAAGAACCATCTCGAAGTAATTACGTTTTTTTTTTTACAAAGGTTTTAAAAATGATTTGATATATTTGCTTAAAAGAAAATTTGAACTAATAAAGCACCGAATCTCTAAAGTTTATATGATAAAGAGAAATATTTGAACGTAACTTTGTTCTTAAACCATCTATAGACTTGTCATAAAAATTTGAAGGTAAACCCATGTTTTCATCATGCGGTGAAACATTTTAAAATGCGTCAATTGTATTATGATGCTATTCAGGAAAATATTGAAGATGATTGTGAAAAAAAAGCAAACATATTATTTGATAATTTATTTGGTCAAAAATAATTTAATTTTACGTTAAAAGTGATCATTTAAAATTTGCTTAACGGACAAATTTAAAAATTTAAAAAAAATTGATCCGTGTAGTAAAATAATCAATGTTGCTGACATAGCTTTGATTAATTATAGTAAATGATGGTAGTGTGGTCATTCCGGTCACGTGATTTATATGAACGTGTTAGATCAAGAATGTTTGGTTTGTAACGGGAATTATTATTTAATGTATTGATTTCTTTTTTATATATCTAGCTAGAGAAGATAGGAAAATATACGAGTTAATGGATAGTGATCTATTTATTTTTTAGTCATGTAGTGTGGAAGGAACGTCAAATTCCTTATTGAAGTTGGGATCAAGGTGTTTTGAGTATAACAATAATTATTGTTTGACGTTTTTTTTCTTTTTTATCGTGTGGGTATATGAATTGAAAGTGGTGTATTAATGAAGAGAGATTAAGAAATAGACTATGTGAAAGATTTTCTTAAGTTAAAATTATTGTATTATCTGTTTTTGTTGTTCTATCAACATGAAAATAATAAAAAATATTTGAATAAGAATGTAGGGAATATAAATTAGTGTGAATTGGAATTGTTCATTCATATTAAAGGCCGTATCAATTTAGAAGTTTATTACCCTAAATTCATAATATATTCAATATCTTAATGATCTTTAAAAATTATGATAGTTTTCGTGTATAAGTTAATTGATATTTAAATAATCCAAGATCACAATGGTGGTACTACAGTATTAGTATAAATATTTAAAGTAAATTTAGATTTTGTGCTTTATGCACCCCAGCATATTTTTTTTGTGTGCAAATTTTATAAGTTTATTTGTCGGATATTTGTGATCATCACATGATTTATCCAAACTTTTAATAAGCTTTTATAAGCTCCATTTTTCTTTCCCACGCTCTCCTTATTATCTTTCTTTTCTCTCGTTTATTTTTTACGGCTTTAACAATGTCAATGAGTGATATTGAATCTATGTCAAGTGATTGCTCTGATAGTGACCTTTTACTGAAGAATTTCTTGAGAATATTCCAGATGACAGTGACTTAAGTGATAATGAAGTCTGCCTTGATAACACTGCGGAAACATATACAAAGAATTAGACCAGCCTAATAATAAGAATAACCTATCAGAATTTGATCAGGAAAATGTTAGAAATCCCGTGATAGACATCCAAAGGGAAGACCTTTATGACTCTAATAAAATCACTAATGGGCGGACTCAAAATAAATGTAGTTATTGTAATAATAAAGGACATATTCATGCTACTTGTCCGTCAAATCACTGTCAAAAGAAAAAAAAGAATGATGAATAAAAATTCTAATTGGTAAGTCATTATGAGTTAGCGCTGGCTTAGGGTTAGGGAGTTGGTTTAGGGTTAGGAGTTGGCTTTATTAACTTAGGGTTAGGGGGTCAGTGATGGTTGGTTTAGGAAAAAAAATGTTAATTCTAATCTTTCTTTTTAATTATGTAGGATTTTGCGTTAACTTAGGGTTATGCATTAGCTTCGGGTCTAGGAAGTGGTCTAGGAGTTGGCTTAAGTTTAGACATTGGCTTAGAATATTAACAGATTCAGGAAAAAATGAGTTTTTGCCTTTCACTTTTATATAGGATTGTTAATTGACATTTATGAAAATAAATCGTTAACTTATCATTGTTTTAATTATAGATATTGTAGTCGCAATATTTAAAGTTTCATTTTATCGATAATTGTATTATTATTAGGGATACGTAATAAAAAAATATGTGCACTCAGATAAATTTTATAAATTTTAATAAAATTTCATATAATGCGTAAAATTGTAAATTTTTTATAATAAATTTCAAATCTCCTGTTTTTCAAAATACCCTTGAACCCGTTTCTTTTTTTTCGACGGTTCCCTCTCAACCTCTAACCTATCCTTCAGTAACCCAACAATGACCTCCATCACCTGCTTCACGTTTTTACACAACTCCTTTTCGGCCTCCGAATTCTCATTCAAGGCAGATCTGACAAGCCGGATGTTGAGTGGATCTTGACTTGTGCAGGAAATTTTTCCCGTAGTATAAAGGATAAAATACCACTCAGTGGCCGTTGTGACAATTCCATAGATATAGTCGAAGTTATCCTCGAGGGTTTTACGTTTCTTCTTGTTAACTTGCAAAGCACTCTCGCATTGGATCAGATTCTGAGCGAAGCTAATGTTCACCTGATATGATTTCCCTTCCGTGATGCAGATAAGCTCTTCAAGAGCCTTGATCGCATAATCGACATGACTGGTACTTTCTTCACCAATGACTTCAAAGTGGGTTCCAAGATAAGGTCCTTTTTAGTTACTCTCTTAACAATATGCAGCGAAGCATGGAGGATTACTGAAATATATTCACATCGCATGGCTTCGTTACTATCTGCTACAACACTCCCCATATTACTCAATCGTCGCTTTAATTCCCTTATGCATTGTTTCAATTCCTTGTCTTCATTTTCGAGTGAATATGTTTCTTTGCAAATGGAACGAAATAGTTAGTATGCATATAATACTTCTGGGTCGCAAATGTAATACTTACTTGGCGGAAATTGACTAATTGCTCCTATCCCGTTACCATCGATCCCATACTTTCGCAACACCTCACTTAAATCCTTCTTAGTCTTGTACGAGGAGAAGGCCCTCAACTTTCTTTCCTTACACTCCTTGGCAAATTCTACGAGCGTTGTTGCAGGTCCCAATTTCATTCCATGTCGTTCGAGTTCGTCTTTGGTTATCTTGAAGAAGGTACGGCCATTAACCCTTTGCTTACGAATTATTTCCAAATCCTCTTCTACAAGTTCAAAGTTCTGCAACTGCAAGAACGAGATAAGTTCAGTCGTTTTATATGTTTAATTTCTTCCGCTAGTGCAAAAGGGTCAGTAACAGAAGTGGTGGAAACTGGGGTATCTGACATAGTAATTTGTTTTTTTATTTGGTTTTGGGCCTGGAATAAATAATGAAAAAGTATCAGCCGCCGTTTATCAACATTATCTCAGAATTTTCTTGAAATGTTAGATGATGATAAATATTGTGATATTACTTTCGAAGTTGGCAATGACCCTTACATAAAAGTTTTTCATGTTCATATGGTTATTTTAAATTATCGTTCTCCTTATTTTCGAAAAATTTTATCAACTGACATTAATAAAGATGAAAATGACGGAGGCTTACCATACCAAATATTCGACCGGAAAATTTCGAAACAATATTGAGGTAAGAGAAATAATAAATTATGACGACTTTTTTTGTTTAAAAATAAACACCATATTGAATTTTTTTCATTTTAGATATATCTATGGAGGGAGAATTTCTTTAGAGGAATATAATACTTCGGATATCATTAAAATTTTAGTTGTTTCCAGCGAACTAGGTCTTAAAGAATTAATCGATCATTTACAATTGTTTTTGATTGAAAATAAAGAAGATTGGATGAAACAAAATTTTAACCTGATATATAAAACAAGCTTTGAAAATGATTCTTTCTTGGAATTACAAAATTTTTGTACTTAAAAATCCCAAAAAATTTTTAATTTAATCGATTTTCCTTCACTTTCAGAAAAATGTTTGTACAACATTTTCAGCGTGATAATTTTCAGCAATTGAATGCTTTTAAAGTTTGGGAAAATATACTTAAATGGATTATTGCTCAATTCCCAAACCTTCCTTCGAATCCTTCTTTATATTTTAAAGATGATGTCAATGTATTTTGCAACGATTTATTATATATATTAAATTCTTTAATTTGAATTATAATGAATTTATAACTAAAGTTTATCCGTATAGAAAGATTTTATCAAAAGATTTACGTGAAAGTTTAGTCAATCATTTTATTAAAAATCCAAAACCAAAAATTACTAAAGAAATTAGATCAGAAAGTATTGATTCAAACATCATCACAATCCAACATGTTGAATTAATCTCTAGGTGGATTGATAAATTAAGAGTTACCGACAAAACAAAAAATGTGTATGAGTTTAATTTAATTCTTCGTGGATCACGTGATGGATTTTCTCCTAGTAAATTTCATGAGATTTGTGATAATAAATATCATACAATTTCAATTATTAAAGTGAAAGATAGTGATGAAATTCTTGGAGGATATAATCCGGAAATGTGGAAATCTAATTTTAGTGATAGCAATACTAATGATAGTTTTATATTCTCATTTAAGAATAAAGAGAATATTGAAGATTATATTTTAAGTCGAGTATGAAAGTTATGCTATATGTAATAGCGTTAACATGGGTCCTTCATTTGTGGTGGTGATCTTAATTTGTATGGAGACAATTGTTATTGTCAGAGTAATTGCTATAAATTTGATTATGAAGAATCAATTAGAGATACCGAAGATTTCTTTTCTGTAGAAGAAATCGAAATATTTCAAATTATGAAGATTAATTGAGAAAAATTTAAAGAATATTTTTGTGAAAATTATCATGTATATATTCTTTATTTTTAAAAATAAAAAGATGAAACTATTACATATTTTTGCAAAATAATTTTTTAATTATATAACCATAATTTAATATTATTGCTAGTGTGATAATGTATCAGCAACATATTAACTCTTTGGAAGCCAATGACGTTAAGAATCTTTATATGATATTATACAAATTGGATGGATAAATAAATAAATTATATAATTGTAAATTGCTTTAAATTGTTATTATAATTCTAGTTTTTTACGCATTACCGTATGACTTACGTATGAATCTTTGGATATCAATCTAATTTATTTTTATCATAGTTCTGAAAAGTTTTAAACGATGAAAAAAAGGTCTTTTACGTATTAATATTCATTAAACATTATTTAATTCAATTAATAATTTCATATGAGCGGTTTTAAACATTACAGACGTAATATATTGTATAAAAAAAAATTCAAATAACTAATAGAAGACTAAAATGAGAAAAGTAAAGGTATATTTATACTTTTTACAAGTAAATTTATTGTTCATAAATAATGCGGGGATAGTTTATGTATTCTATTTAGTTACGAGGAGATCAAAATTATATTTAGTTATAATTATTGCGTTCAAAAGTTTTTTTTTTACAATAACTCTAAGAAATTCTAATTTAATACAATATAGACGTAAAATATCTAGTCAATAAAGTAACTTAACTAGACTACAAATCAAATAAGAAATTTCTAGAGTAATAAATACAGAAATACAGAAAATTATAAATCCGACAACTCTACCGATGTCCAAACACCTCACTATATCCTAACTATCAAATACAAATCGATCTTTTGACGTGTTGATTAATTCTGCCATCTCGAATTAAAGTACGATATCCTTTACTAGATCGTTTGTAATAAATACCATTACTTCTTTCCCAAATATTCATTTCTTCGCATCGTAATACCCAAATATATGTTTTACTCCGTTCGCAAGTTTATTGTTGTGTGACAAAAAAAACAAAATTTTTTTTTAAATAAAAATAAAAAAGTATTAAAATAATTTTTCATAATCATTTCCCCGAAAGCAATGTCGCCGAAGCCATTTCGCCGAAGGGATGTTTCACTGAAGGGAAAGGACGTTTCGCTGAAAGTGCATTTTATCAATTCCTTCTCAACGATTGAATACTTACTAATCATTTTCTGGCTTGAAGTTTTAATTTCCAAGCCGACAAACGATTGGAATGTGGAAACCAAGATCCAATTTCACCTTGTTCTTTTATACAAATGGAATTAAAGGAAATATGTAATCGTATAATATAATAATTATAATTATATATTTAAAAATTGTTGAATACTTACTAGCCACTTTCCGGTCTGAAGTATAACTTCCAAGACGATAAAGGCTTGAAATGTGGAAAAGGACCTCATTATACCTTGTTATTCTATACAAATTTACATATTAACAGTCAATTTAAATTATACAGTTATTTATGGTTTTGACAATAAATCTTCACAATTAAAATAAAAAGCCATTACATCAACTTTTTATACAATGAAAACAATGAAAACTAATGATTGACATGATATAAATGGAAATAGACATTAATATGTAATCGAATAATAATTATATTTAGTAGTATAGTTACTTAGTATTTCGGCTTGAAGTAATAGGATTAACGGTGGCATTTGTATATTTCAAATTTAAAATAATGTGCGGGACGTGCATTTGTGCAGTATTTTGTGCATAATCATAAAATTTGGCAAATTTATCGTTCTTGACCCACTACGTGGCGGTCGTGGCGCTAACATAACCCGCATACAATAAGGGGTCAAGATGATGCCCAAGGTTAAGTTCAATACTTTTGCGTAAACAAGCATAACAAACAATAAACAACGAATATAACGTACAGTGGCCTACAAAAAGTCAGTGAGTACCTGTAAAATACAATAATCATTATGCAAATATGCTCCAATGTAAAGTTTTTTTTTTATTAATTGACCCACCTTTTGTATTATAAGTAAAGTTGATCACCAAGTTGAATTACACCTACTCTGAAAATTACACGAACTTCTAATTAAAATTGATTTTTGTATTTAAAATTTATTGGAAAAAAATTAGATTTTTAATAGAAATCTTTTAGTATTAATACAACGATAAACTAACTTATTTGATCATATTTTATTTTTTAAATAAATTATTTTCCATAATTTATAACATTATATGAAGTATCTATCATCAGTATTAACGCAATGATCAGCAAGTTACAACATTTTTACTGGCATTTGCCGATCATTTGTAGATCACTACCAGATTATTTACCGGAATTTAGCAAAACTAGTGCATTAAATTTAGCCAAATTTTTTTTGTATGAATGTTGGAAATTTTGACTATTTGTTTCTAACTTTTTTATTATAATCATAATATAAGATCATGATTTATTCTTTATTTAACAATTTACAAATAATTAATAGATGCCAAATATCTTTGCCAAAAGTGTGTAACTTGCTAATTATTTTGTTAATGTTGATGATACTTCGTGATCATTATGCTGTAAATTATGACAAATAATTTTATTAAAAAAAAATTAAGTGTTTTAAAGCAAATATTTTAATGCTAAATTATTACCATAGATTTCCATTAAAATATCTAAATATTTTAATAAATTTCAAAATATAACAATTAATTTTAATCAGAAATTCATGTAATTTTCAGAGTAAGCATAATTCAACTTGGTAATCAACTTAACTTATAATACAAAAGGTGAGTCAATTAATAAAAAAAAAACTTTACATTGGAGCATATTTGTGTAATGATTATTATATTTTACGGGTACTCACTGACTTTTTGTAGGCCACTGTACATATACACAGTATGCGTGACAGTCGTAACACTACATAATAATTTAAATTCTAAAATTGAGGGTTACTTGGTTTACGGATTTGTAATAGCAAAAAAATTTTTTTTAACGCTTGCTATATTAATAATGCTAATTTTACGTTCAAGTATTTATAAATACAAAAACAATAGTTAGTTGTTTTTCATCAAAGTTTTGGGCTTTTGTTTTTCTTTCTCTGTGCATTAATTTTTGGACAAAAATTGATCTACTTCTGTATCACGTTATCAGGAGCTGTGTCACACGTGACATTCAGCCAATAATATCTCAAGTGATTCAAATTTCCGCCGTAACAACGTAAATGAAAATCATCTGTTTCAGGTGGTTGTATTTAGAATATTTAATAATCAATTATTATAAATTAAAATTGCGAAACAATAAATAGCCTTTTTGACCTTTTCTCAACGGCTAAAGTCTTTTTACTATTAATAAATTTATAATAAAATAATATATTAGATTTTTTAATCATCAAGGTTCTGACAATGCATATGAAACATTTTAGACAAGAAACAATATTTATTTATGTTACAAAAAAGTCGTCATTGAGGTATTCAGTTGTATAAAATTGTAAACAATAAAATCTATGAAACAGTTATTTCGTTTAATACTCAAGTCGGGTATTAAACGGATATTAAACGGATATTAATATTTCCTTCCATTTACTAATTCCGTAAAATTATATTTTAAAAATATGAAAGAATCATTTCTTTAAGGAGATTAAAGAATATTAAGAAAATTTAAATAAAATTTTATTAATTTAATTAATGCATGATTTCACGGTATATTTTACGATATTGAAAATTATATTGAATTTTAGTATCTCATAACAAATTACTAAAATATTAACTGAACGGAGTGAGGCATTCTTCATTCTATATAAAATTTATAGAAACATCAACATGAACTAAAATTCATTAATAACAAGAAATTAAATTCTTTCAATAGGACCCTAAATGAAAAATAAAAACTGTGTTTGGATCAATGTAAAATTTCTTAATTAATACGATATGTCAAACAATAAAATATTAATTTTTGACACAAACTGGTTTATTTCCTAATTGAACTCCAAACAAAGCTTCGGACACTCGTATATTACGGGCCATAGTACCCCATGTATAATAATACACTAATTATTTTATAAGTTTTAACCACCCTCTATTAATAGTAAAAATTCGCGTAATACCGAAATTTACGGAGTACTGTGGCCCGCGATATACGGTAATTACAGCCAACAGAATATTCTTGTGTGTCAAAATTTCATATGATCAGATTTCATCATAAATGTTACAAAAAATTAAGTACTTTCAATAGAATCTTAAATGGAAGAGAAAACAAATAAATCATTGCTTATTCGATCAATGATAATCTTTCATTAGATAACATTTATAATAGTAATTTATGACTTAACTAATAAAAATTATATAAATATCGATTATTTTCCTGTTAGCTTCGATATTGATTTTTCTTATTATTTATTGTTCATATATCATTTTAAATATATATACCAATATTCCTTTTTATATTATTATTTTAGTCTTTATCTCTATTCATAATGGTACAACTAGTTGAAGACGTTCTCTTGCTAATTTTCATCGAATTGCAAAATGATCCCGCTTCCTTATATTCATGTATTTTAGTTAATAAAACATGGTGTCGAATAGCTGTACCTATATTATGGAAATATTTTTCCTATGCTTACAAAAACCCTTACAATCATAAACGAGAATCGCGTGAAAAACTTTACAATGTTATTGCGCATTTCTTACCAAATAGCTCAAAAGATAAATTGGCTAAAAATGACATCAAATTACCCTTAAATCTGATTTCAAATATGTTATTGTTTAATTACATGGAATTTTTTACTCGTCTCACATCTGCTTTGATTGAAGATATGGCACGACTTTTAATTAAGGAGAATTCTAATTATAAAATAAATTTGGTAGAGAATGAAATTTACAACTTAATTTTTAATAGATGTAAAAATATTAGGCATTTCAATTGGAATACTCAGGCACAATTATACTTATGTCCAAATGCAGAAGAATTTTTTTCTAATATACGTTCATTAGAATTTAATTTTTTATTCATAACTCCAGTAATGTTACTTAAACTTGCTGTGATTTGTCAAAATATAACGGATCTTAAGATACACGATTGTGATGAAGACAGTTTAGATTTGGTTCTATTTATTAAAATGCAAAATAATTTGCGGTCTTTGAGTTTAAATTTTAATAACAAGGAAGAACAATACATACAATTAAGCAATATTATTGGTCAAAAAGCTGTTTTATTAAAAAAAATTTCATTAGGACCGGTGATTACATTAATTCGACCTACGTTTTTTCCATCATTAACATATTTGCAATATTTGTTCCTAAATAATAATGATTGTGATTTATATGAGAGCGTGAACTGGCAAGAATGGGAACACTATATAAATATGACCACTTTTCCATATCTTCAATACCTTAAAACTTTATATTTATTAAGTAGTATTGAATGTTTAATAATTGAAAGATCTGGAGAAAAAATTTTAGAAATTGATGTATACCATCCACTTAAGACCCAGGATTATCCAACTGAAAATAAAAAATTAATTAAAATGATCTCTCTACGTTGTCCAAAGATAATAAAGTTAACTTTGGACGTTGATCCTGATAATTTAGAAGAAATCAGTAATCTTCTTTCAAATTGTTCATTGTTGGAAAAAATATATTTTACAACAAAAAACTATATATATCCTAATGGAGATAAACTACTAAAAATTATGAGCAATAAATCACCTGCTACATTGCGAGAATTTTCATTTGTAGACAAATGGAATTTCTCATTAAAAGGATTAGAGTCATTTCTTGAAGATTGGAAAAATAAAAATCAATTTCCAATCAAATTTACTCATTATTACAAGGAATTCCCAAAAAGTTTTTGTTGGGTTTTTGTAAAAAAAATGTAAGATAAATTAATATAACAAATTTAGTACAATTATAAAATGTTTTCGTATGGCATTTAAAATAAATTTGTTACAAATATGCATTAGCATTTGATTTTGCACTTTATATTGCGTTTTTGGTTCATTCTTCCAAATTTGAGTATTGTAGTTCCATGGAAATCAAAGACTAATTTGCATACTTGGAATTACATTCAAATAATGAATCTAAATAAAATGCATTTATAATGGATCAAATTATTTCATTCTAATTTAAGAAAAAAGAAGAATGGAAATTTCATTTTTAAGAAATATTTTCAGAATTTATGTGGAAAGATTAATTTAAATGTTGAAAATGCTTCAGGTGTTTTGACTTTATTAACAACAGCAAATGAATTTGAATTATATTCACTTGTTAAGAATTTTTAATTATATGATAATCAAAAAGAATTTATTAAAACAAGTTTATGCTTTATACTGTGCTTTAGTTGAGCTAGCTATTGTACTATTATTATTTAAAAATACTATTTTTGCCACTTATATCTTTTGATACGAACCACAGACTTTTGAGTCGAATTATGCTACGAAAAATCATGACATCCATGAAATAATAAAAATATTTTGGTTTTGTCCTACATTTATCAAAAAAAAAATTCCATGTAGTCGATAATAGGAAATAGAATTAATGGAATTGAATATAAAATATTTAATTTATTATATTTGAAATGTTTGTAAATGTTAGAAATGATGTCATTTATCTTACTTTTTACATTTTAAAATTTTGTATTGTAAAATTGTATAGCTAAGCAGAGTAAAATTATGAAGAGTAAGTTACTTACTTATTTACTGTTTTTATTCCGTTTAAAATTTTATATTGATAATATTTTTTGTTTAATATTTGTATCATATTTTATAACAAATTAATATGAATAATTGTTTATAGTTGTTAATAATTTTAGGAGGAAAAGTTTTTTTGAGAGTTTAAAAAATAAACTCAATCCTTATTTGGCAAGTATTGCCGGGAGAGAAGATTTCAATTAACTAATAATTCTTCATCAGCGCTTTTCAAACGATTAAAATAATTCAGCCCACGCATTCGCAGTAAAAGGTTTCAACAATTACTAGATTATTTAATTACGTCATATTGTAGTCACATTGGGATCTATTTACAAAATCTCTTTTTTTTTAGAATGACATATATTAGTATATTAGATATAGTAACAATAATTCAAATATGACATAAAGTAATAAGTTGTTAATGATTTAATGAAACTTTTTTTTTATTGCATTTTCTTTAATAATAAAGCAATCTGTCTAATCAACTAAGGTTAGAATTCATGTTTATTTATCTATTTTAATAATAAGTTTAAACCTTTTTCAGCTTCTTGGCATCCATTTTCTGCTGCTTTTTTGTACCAATAAATGGCATTCTCAACATTTTTTTCGGTTCCTTCTCCCCGTTCATATAAAGATGCGAGGTTGTATTGTGCATCAACATTTCCTCCTTTTGCAGCCATTGTAAAATAATTAAATGCTTTTTCTTTATCAATAACGATTTGAATTCCATAATTATAAATATACCCAACTTTATATTGAGCAATTATATATCCTTGATCAGCCGATTTCTTATAGAATTCAAATGCTCTTGTTTCATTTTGACGAATACCTTTACCTAATTCATAAAATTCACCTAATTAATACAATGCAATTTTATTGTCATTTTCTGCAGCTTTATGATACCAATAATTGACTTTGTCTAAATCATTCACTATTTCATCATCATTTTTAATAAAATTAATTTGGATGTTTAGTATATAATTCAAACCCCTTTTCTTTATTAATTTCAGTTCCTATTCCATTTACGTAATAATATCCAAGTATAAATTTTGCACCTATATATCCACTTACAGCCGATTTTTTATAAAATTCAAATGCTTTAATTTCATCTTTATTTACACCTTTTCCCAACTCATACCATTCTCCTAAATTATTTTGTGCAACTTCATCACCATTTTCTGCTGCTTTTTGGTACCAGTAAAGAGCTTTTTAATATCCCTATCAATTCCAATTCCACATGAATAATAATATCCAAGTTGACATTGAGCATCTACATTACCTTTTCCAGCTAAATCTTTAACTAATTCAACCGCTTTTTTCTCATTTTTATCAACCCCTTTTCCGAATTGATAACATTTACTTAAATTGTATTGTGCATTAGTGTTTCCTTTTTCAGTTGCTATACTATATAATTCAAATGCTTCTGATTTGTTAACTTCAGTTCCAATTCCTTTATCATAATAATATCCAAGCTTAAATTGGGCATCTGCATTACCTTTTCCAGCTAAATCTTTTATTAATTCAAATGCTTTTTTCTCATCTTTATCAACTCCTTTTCCTAATTGATAACAGTTACCTAAATTGTATTGTGCACCAATATTCAGCAGCTGCTTTGTATAATTCAAATGCTTTTGATTTATTAATTTCAGTTCCAATTCCTTTTGAATAATAATATCCAAGTTGGCATTGAACATCTACATCACCCTTTTCAGCTAAATCTTTTATTAATTCAAATGCTTTTTTTCCATTCTTATCAACTCCTTTTCCAAATTGATAACAATTTGCAAGATTAAATTTTGCACTTGTATTTTCATTATTAGCTGCTTTCTGATACCAATACACTGATTTTATAGTATTTTGTGCAATTCCAATACCAAATTCATAGCAATTCCCTAAATAAAATTGAGTAATAATATTACCACTTTCTGCAGATTTTTGAAACCAATTAAATGCTAAATTATGATTACATTCAATTCCATATCCACCATCATAATAACATTTTCCAAGATAAACTTGTGCAAATGAATAATTATTTTCAGATGCTTTTAAAAATAGTTCATAATAAAGTAATCCAAGTAAATAAACATATTGTGGATTTACTTGATTAGATAGCCATTTAATGAGATCGTCCAAGCTTTGATTTAATTCTAATACTTGTTGATTAATAAATTGCTTAATATCTTGAAAATTAATACCTTCCCTATCATGTTTGCTGTTTATTTCTTCAACTAAATTTTCAACAACTATATTGTTTACCTTATCAAATGTCGACCCATATGAAAAATATTGATGAATTTGTTTGAATTGTTGTATTTGATAAATTTTTCTCAGCATCCATTAAATTTAATCCAGTATTTGACATCAATTCATTATTTAAATCCATGGTCCCAATTGATTCTATTAGTTGATTGTTTTCTTTTTCTTTATTAACAGTATCAATAACTATATCATCTTGTTTAGGAAATATTAGTTTATAAAGGATTGAAACGACATTTTGTATATTTGGGCGTTCATCTGGCTCATATAACCAACATTCTAGTTATTTAAATATTGTTAAACTTTCTTTCAAGAAATTTATTAATTTATAAAATTATTAATATAAATTACCTGTATACAAATTACTATACTCTTTAGGAGTATTATCAATAATTTCTTCTCGCTTTCCATTTGCTATGGATAAGATTAAGCTTACATCATAATTATAATTAAAAAATGGTCGACGGCCACTTGAAATTTGCCACATTAAAACTCCTATTCCATATACATCAGATTTTTTGTTTAATTTGTAACCTTGATCATTTAACTTTTTGGGGTCAATGAAAGGTATTACGCCAAGTATTTTTGATACATTGCTTGATACCTCGGCGATTTTTTTTGATAAACCAAAATCCGTCAGTTATAGATTTTTCTGATGTACAAGTATATTATCTGCATGCTATTATTATAAAGAATCTTATTTAGTAAGAATATAATCAAATAATCAAATAATCAAATAACAAATTACAAAGCTAATAATTTATTATTACCAGATCACGATGAATATTATTACAATCATGTAAACATTCTAATGCAGTGGCTAGTTGAAATGCTAACTGATACTTATCGGTCCAAGTGAGTTCATTAAAATGCTCATTTAAATAAGTTTTTAATGTACCATTATTAGCATATTCTAAGACTAACGAATATTTTTCTGGATACAAAGATTATATTAAAAATGAAGCTCATTCAATAATGTATAATATATATCAAACTTAAAACTTACCATTTTCTACTTTCGTTATTCCATAAAACCGGACAAAAATATCAAGCACGTACAGATAAAAACATCAAGCCTTTTTTTTTCTTTTTTTTTATATAATCCGATTTAGCGTGTTGAGCGTATAATAGAGTGTGTGAAAGAATGTCAAATTTTCTATGAAGTGTTTAGTGTAGGACGAGTATTATTATTTAATGTGTTTGTAGTTAAAAGAGATTGGAGGGTGCACGAGTTGATGAGTAGCATATAATAGAGTATGTTCTATTTATTCCCTGACTATATAATGTGGAAAGAACGAGATCGGTAGTGTTTGATGTGTAACATCGATTATTATTCGATGTTTTTTTCTTTTTTTTGTCTTCTATAGTTAGGGAAGATGAAAAAATATATGAGTTGATGGATAGTATATAGTAGGATCGTTCTGTTTACTTTTTTGTCTTGTAGGGAACGTTAAATTCCTTATTGATGAAATTGAGATCAAAAATGTTTGATGTGCAACAAGAATTATTATTTGATGTATTTGAAATTAAGGAGCTGTAGTATTACTGCTGGAAGGAACGTTAAATTTTATGAAGTTGGGATCAAGTTGTCTGATGTGTGATGAAGAATATTATTTGATGTATTTTTTCCTTTTATCTTGTGTTGTTAAAGTAGATGGAAAAATACTTTAATTATCCATCCAAAATAAATATATGACCGAGCTATTTCATTTTGTAATTTATTTAATTCTATAGTAGCAATGTTCGAAAATTCTAAATAAAAATAAAGATTTTTCCCTAAGTTCACTGGCAGCCCATGCCCAAATTTTCCAATATTAAGATGTGCCGTCGTGGAGCGTCCTTAACCTAAGGTGAGGGTGTAGACCTTTAACCTAAACTGGGATGTACGATTAAAATTTGACGAATTTCATTGGTCAAATTTCGTTTTGTGTTTATCTTAGAAAAATTTTCGTGATGTTTTTTCGCGCAAAGAAATATTTATCTTATATAAAAAATTCTTGTACTATAGCGTTTTAAGAAAAGAGCAAATGAAATATTTATCTAAAATAACTTTCATAATTCTTACAATTTTTATTTTATTTATAAATTTGTTGTAAATATATTTTTTATTTTTTTTTTTTTTTTTTTAAAAAAAAAGATAAATAGACCATATTTTTGAACTAGATATTTTTACAAATAAAACATGACTAAAGAATTTATGTAAAACTTCTATAAAAGCTTTTGGGGCTTTTAAGCTTAACACTAATAATATATTTTTACTTTTTATCCTAAGTTTTCAATAAAAAATATTTCAGTAAATTTTGTATTTAAAAAATTACTTCAACCGCAAAATAAAA